GTACGTTCTGCTCCTTGATGACCGCCGGTTGGTAAATTATCATGGTAAACTTGCAATATATCATGTCTTAAAGTTTTTGGCACTGTTATTTGCTTAATTATTCTTTCTGATTTAGAAATGCTTTTGGTTCGAGGCGTATAAAAGTGATATAAGATGCCATCAATGATATCGAAAGATTTTGCTTCACTACTTTATTTTTCAGGTAAATAATGATATCAGCGTAGTCAGGACAAATTGTCTGTAAATGTTGGAGATTGATATTATTAATTGACCCGGATCTTTGTTATTTTTAAATAAATTATCGAGAACATTAACAGTATTGACGCTATATTGGTTATTAATGTCATGGTCATTTTTATATTCAAAAGTAAGCGAAGTTAAAGATGAGCCTTCGCATGATGTACTGAATATATGTGCGTCAGGTTCAGCTGGTTTCTCATTTACTTCGTCGTATTCACGTCTGGATAGGCAATCAGCCGCGACATTTCTCGTATCTGCAATGTGCTTAATCTTAAACTTATTACCTTGCAGTCGCAATGCCCAACGCCCTAGTCTACCTGATTTTTAGGTTTTGGCATTTGCTAGCCATGTTAGGCCAATATGATCAGTATAAACTATGAATTCGTTTGCCTGTAGATAAGTCTTGTATTCGTCAATAGCTTCTACTAACGCCAGTCCTTCTTTGCCAGTTATATAGGTCAGTTTCGTTCGCCCTTGTGCAGTGAACGTCCTCCGTAAGAAATGGGATGCTCCTTTCCATCATGAATTTGTGATAAGACATATGCAACAGCATTGTTTGATGCATCACAGTGGATAATGAATTGTTTATCCAGCTCTGGAAAGATAAGCACTGGTGCTGTACTTAACGCTTCTTTCAGATCTAAGTATGCATTTTCGCATTTTTTGGACCATTCAAACATATTTTTAGAAAGCAAATAGGTTAAAGGTGAAACAATTATGGAATACTCTTTTATAAACTTTCTGTAACAATTGGTCAAACCAAGAAAACTTCTAACTTCTTTCTGAGATTAAGGTCTTGGGAACGTAGCCACCGCAGCAGTTTTTGATTTATTAGTTTGAATTCCCTTGTCGCTAATTATGTGACCACGTTATTTCTGGTCTTATTAAATTAAGACTGAGTCCAAGTAACTTCTATGTGATTTATTAAACATAGATAATTCAACAAATATTTACAAGAAAGAGAGAGATCCGATCCGTTCTAAACCATAGCTCACTCTCTGTTTGAAATACAGTTCTACAAAATATATATAGACAATTATGACACATTGGCAATTAAACTATAAAATATTGCTTCTCGATTGAAATCTAAAACAATAGTTCGTTTTGTAGAGAGTTTGGTCAATGACCAGTTCTTAATCCCTCCACTGTTTAGACTTCAATGCTTTGTCTAAATTATATCTGACGTAATAGCCAGTGGCTGGTTTAATAAGCTTCTATAGCCCAGGGGCCAGTTGACATTAGATTGTAAAGAGTTTTACTCTATCTGTTTTTAAAAGAACAATATGTCACGCGCATATCGGAACGTAACTTCCTGAATTATGGCCCCTGATCGTACGAAAAATCGCGTTTATAGCTTGTGGACCCTATAGAGGTCATAATTTGTATCCGATTTAAAAAAAACAACCGTATTATTGTATCACCGTTACACCCTATGGACGACTGAGTTCGAATTTCGTGAAAATCGGCCCAAAACTGACAGACAAAATGGCCGCCGTTCATTCTCAAATAGCGTAAAAATATGGTATATCAAGGTTGTGGACCCTATAGAGGTCACAATTTTAACCCTATTTTGATGAAACTTGAAATGTAAGTTTATAACCCGAAGATCTCGGTTCCTTTCGATATTCGCGCATATCGGACCCTAACTTCCTGAATTATGGCCCCTGATTGTATGAAAAATCGCGTTTTTAGCTTGTGGACCCTATAGAGGTCATAATTTTTATCCGATTTAAAAAACCGTATTATTATATCACCGTTACACCCTAAGGACGGGTTAGTTCGAATTTCGTGAAAATCGGCTCAAAACTGACAGACAAATCGGCCGCCCCTCGTTCTCAAATAACGTAAAAATATGGTATATCAAGGTTGTGGAACCTATAGAGGTCACAATTTTTATTGGCTTTTGTTGAAACTTGAAATGTAAGTTTATAACCCCAAAATCTCGGTTCCTTTCGATATTTGCGCATATCGAATTGTAATTTCCTGAATTATGGCCCTTGATTGTAGGAAAAATACTTTTCGTTTTAGCTTGTTCTCTATCCATCTCTCGAAAATGTGGGCGTATCCTGCAGCCGCTGGTTAATATGTAGAACTCATATGCACTATGTCGGTCATACTAGCATGATTTAATTTCATCACAATAGTTCACTTGTGCGAATTAAGGGCTCTTTCAGTGTTTGTGTGTGGGGGTCGGGGGGGACGAGGTTACAATGCCACCATGCTATTCGAGGGGCGTCCCAAACGTCCGACCTCCCTAAGAAATATGCTATATGCATATGAAAATTGTTATACTTATTTTTCATAACAATCCCTCTTTTACACCAATGCACTTTAACCCGAAAGAAAACACCTGTATCATCTCTCCCATATCTGTGGCCCCTGAGTTGTGGGAAGAGGAAGTGGCCAAACTCGCATAGAGAACTAGACCTGGAGAACAGGCTTGGTGAGGGAGGATCTTGAAGCCGCAGTATTGTGCCGCACACACTGCAGCAAGACACCTAGGCAAAGTTTACATCGACGCTGTTCTTTGAATTGATCATGCGTAATATGAACCACTTATGGAGGGACCATTCTTTAGATAATCCATCATGATTATGCCCTCGGGGTCCCAGAAAGGGAGGTAATGACCTTGCCACTGGATGACATTCGTTTGACTTTTTGTTTCTTTGTCAAAGTGGTCAAAGTGTTGAAACCAGGTGTCATCGCAATAGTAAAAATATGACCCAAGAAATCACGTGGATCTCTCCGGTAGGCCTCGACAAGCTGTTGATACTTTGTGCATGTGCAAATGTTCATGGATTATTCATGTTTATATTCATTCCACTGATGCTTTGCTAATGTCATGTGCAGTAGCTAACTTTCTAACACCACTGTTACTCGCTTGTCTTGCATTATTGTATCATAAACGGCCTCAACGTTATCTTGCATTGTCACTTCATAAGGGTACCATACTGTGGTTCATCTCCAGTGCTGATCACGCTACTTGTAAATTCAGCACACCACTGTCATCATGAATTTGCTTTGGCGTAAACCTTTTCAAATGAAGATACTTAACCACTTCTCTGCATTCGGTTATCTCCATTTTGAGAGCAAATCACAAGGTCGTGCTGTTTGATAGCTATATAAAGGAAATTGTCTCATGTGAAAGTTATCTTTTGCATGTCAAGCACATGTTAAGATACCTTTTTAGAAAAATCACCTTCATGGTGAGGCGGTGACATTTGGGAGATCCCTCATACGCCAAAATTTTGTAAGAGATGAAAGAAAAATTGGAAAAATCAGCAAAGACTTCATCCTCTCATTGTCCCAATGTTTTTCACATCGAATTTGAAATGAAATCTGTTAAAAACTGTAGTCCCTATCGCGTCCAGAAGGCTTTTCGGAAAAGAGGGGTAACTACTCCGAAACGGAGGTTGCGTAACACCGAATATCGACAGTGGTCGTAATCACATAGACCCAATTCGTGATACCAACTTTGAAAGAGAGAGAGAGAGAGAGAGAGAGAGAGAGAGAGAGATGGGGTTTAACGCCTACTCGACACAAAGTAGGTCATTTCGGGACTAACACATGGTTCAATTTTATTTAAATAATTCGCTTGCGCGTAGGGGTCTTTAGAAGTGAGGGGGGAACCGGAGGACCCGGAGAAAACCCACGAGGTTGGACAGACGACCCTACTCCTTGTCGCGTACAACAGGGGAATCGCGCTCGCAAAATTTTAGACTAATGTGGCATAATTCCGTAACAGACGGTCATTGAAACCTTTTTATCCATAGAGTTTGAAAAACAATCTGGCATAACTCTAGAACGGAAGGTCTGATGTGCATCAGAATCAAACTAATCCAAGATCTATTGATCTTTCAAATATATTTTAAATTTCGTCTAAATCGAACAAAAATGGTGAGCTCAAGCGGCATTCTGAACACACACGGAGACCAATCTACTTCATACTTCGCGAACAGACTTTTGTGATGCAGTTCTACTCCAGTTCACATCTGTCATACACAAAACGAACAAATAAACCTTTTCAATTTTATTGAATGGAAACGGAATAAATAGTTCTCAAAATTCTTATAGTGTTTTCGACTAAAACCATCGATTTAGGACTCAAATGGTCGGTCAACTAGCTAAGTGTCTTTTCTATTAGACAGTCAATGTTTAGTATGCTGAAGTGGCTCCACAAACTTTGTACATATTTCACATTTTGCGCAAAATGCAGGGGCTATGAGCAAGAAGTTGGGGTCTGATGCGCACCAAAATCGAACCCATTCAAGATCTTTTGATCCGTTATATATTATGTTTGGTTTCCTCTGAATCGGACAACGATAATGGCCTCTGGAGAATCCACAAACATTATACATGTTTCGCATTTGAATAAAAGACAAGGGGCATAACTACAGAACGGAAGGCTAGGTGCACACCAAAATAGAACTCATTAAAGGAGGCAAGTCTCTAATTCATTATCATCCACAGTCTTCGATATTGTAAACACGACTTGGTCAGTTTAAATCAACATTGATGTTGTTATCTATCTTACCGTGAAAAGATGGGCTTCTGATATCCAATATTTAAGACAAAATGAAAATTTAAAAATTGCCAGAATGCTTTCGCATTGGTCGTTGGCTTTGTATTGCGTCCAATGGAAAGGCCACGGTTTATATTGTCCAACTCAATTATTAACTTCTACCCTATTGCTGAAACGAGATTGTCGCTTCAAGTTATGTACGCCCCCTGTATCTTAATTAAACCATTACTTAATTAGAGGGCAATTGATAAGAATGCCTGGACATATAAATACACGCAACTCCGCTTCATAACTTTTCGAAAATACGGTTCATTTGTGATGTGCAGAATGAAGAATTTGTTTGCTATCTTACCGATACTCTTGGTTTTATTTAGCATTGTGAAAGGTGATTCAATTGAAGATGAATTTGATGCACTACGACAAAAGGTGATGACCGAGATCAACGGAATAAAACAAGCATTAAAAAAAGTTTCAAATGATCGATTAGAACTGGCTCGCAATATGCAATTTGCTTGTAACTCTAAAGAGTTTTATCGGAAGATGAAGCACAACATGAGAAATTTAATGGGTAGATTTGCTAACATCTCTGTGGAAAGGAATTTAATAGATCAATTACGAACGAATGAAGTTGCAGAGGGAAAGGCTACAACACTGAATGGTGGAAAACTTGAAGTGGCCAATTACATTGATGCAGCTGGGCAAGTCCGATCTCTTCATAGTTTGCTCGACGCCATAGAAACGGAAATGTGGAAGCAAAGATTTAACCGTCAGATCACGGAACGAAAAGTTCATAAACTGAAAAAGAAAATGGATTCGAGTAGAATCCATTTGATACTGGATCGATTGGCGGCTGTTGGGATGGACAATAATGCTGGTAAGACATGACTTGTCATAATGCTATTTTCTTTTGCAATGACGATCCAAAGGGTATTTTTAAACTTCAAAAAATCTGATTGCGCGGGTTGTTATTGAGGAAGTTCAGAAGCACTGATTACTATTTTTATTTTTCCCTCCGATAGCCCTTAGTATTTCGTCTAAAGTTCTGAACAATAGATGTTGCAGTGTCTTTGATCTTTGACAGTTTTCCTTGAAATTTATTCTGTGTAAAAATACATATTTCAAACAAAATTTATGACACTTTCAAATTTTATTTTATTCAGGCATTATTGTACCCACATAACTGTAAATTGGAGTGTACAGAAATACTTACTTACAGGTACTGTCGTATTGATTATGATTAAACACAAAACTATAACTTAGATAATCCAATATATAGGTTAATGGGTGTAAAATGTTTCATATTACTATGAACGGTTTATGGGATGTATGCTCTGGAATAATAATTGTATACTAATTTCTTTCCATTGAAACACATCTGAGATGAGGTTCAACATCCTGACATTTTCCCTGACAGCTACCGCCTACTCATATTTTCGAATTCTCGTTGTCAATGAATTGTTACGTGCACGCTAACGTGAATACCGAACCTCAGTATTTCGTCCCACTCGAAAGACTATATTATACGCTGTCCCTTGCCAAGCCTTCCGTCCTTAACAACTGAAATGGGGGAATCACGCCGGAAAATCCGATGAACACGGAACCTTGCAGTTAGCAAGCAAGCGCCTTACACACCGAGCAACGATGACTTCTGGTGATTGGTGTATACAACGTTTCATAAAGATTTCGTCAACGAGATCCTCAGGACTAAAAATTGTATTGGGGCGCACATCGTTTAAGTACGGAAGCCCATTAGGGTCAATCAAATAAAAATTAAAAATCTGATTATCTTATAATTACTAGATAGCCTAATTACAAGATTGCTTTATCTTGTAATTACAAGATAGCCAAAGATAGCCTATCTTGTAATGAGAATATAGTCTATCTTGTAATTACATGGTCGCCATACACCGATTTATCGAATAGCTAGGTCAACATCGTACTTTATTTTATGTAACAGAATCGGCACATTCATGTCATGCTGTCATAAATATCATTCGTTATTTTCATGCATCTATTAAAATCACAAAGTTCATACTACCATTAACTTTTTACTCCCACCAACTTCTTACACGCATTGATATTATTTATTAATATCATGATTCATCAATTTTAATGCTTTCCTTAAAGCCACAGAACGCTATTTATATTTTTTTCAGAAAATTTCTTTAAATTCTGATCTTTGGCTGTTTTTGTTTTCCTTTGTTTTGACATTACAAAGTTTTTATTGTCTGCAGAAGTTACCGAGTTTAGCGATTTTTTCCATTTCAACAGAAAATTAAAATCAAAACCATTTTACGGTTAATCATCAACGGCCGTTGAACAGCAGATAAGATTCAAATATGTTGAAAATCGGAGTTGATTATAATTGTCCTGTCATAAATGTCTAATTAATAGTTTATATAACATTTAAGGACTAAAGAAAGACCTGCAATAGGCAGATTTAGCTCTTGCATAATTTATGTTTAAAGGAGCTAAGTCTCTAACTCAATATTTTCCATAATATTTGAAATTAAAAACACGAATTAGAATTCAATATTGACCAATTTCAATCAATATTGATGTTGTTATCTTGCCATGAAACTATAGGATCCTAATAGGATTAATATTTTATAATCAGTACACGATTAGTATACCCTATGGTTTCGGGTGCCATTTTGGGTTGTTATTTCGAACAAACGCATGGCAAATTTGGTATATATGGAAAGTAAAGACACCCATCTTACCGGAAAAATACTGGATTACCAAAAAAACACCCATGGGGCTTGCACTTTGCAAAAATGTCAGGGTATCACTAACTGGCAAGTTGGTATGAAGTTGGTGGGACTATGAAGTGAATGAGAGTATGAACTTAATGAATGGTTTTTAATGAGGGCAAGAAATAACGAATGATATTAATGGGAGCATGACCTGAATGTACCGATCCCGTAACATAAAAAGTAGCTATCCGATAAATCAGTGTAGGGCAACCTTGAAATAAACTATATAGATCTTTTTTTTTTCATGTGATGATCCTAAAGGGCTACTCCGTATCTTGTAATTACAAGATAGTTATATAAAATGGTTATCTTGTAATTACCAGATAGCTATCTTGCAATTACAAGATAATCAGAATATTTTTTGTTCCTTTGATTGACCCTAATGGTCTTCCGTATTTAAGTGACACGTTAACAAATTTCTAAATTAAAGTTGATTGGATTGCATGATTTTTACTAACTGAATAGTTTAACCGTCATAACTTGAAATATTGGTATATATCCAAAAGATCTCGGTTCCTTTCGATGTTGGCTTGTACGGGACCGTAACTTCATGGAATATGGCCCCTGATTGTGCACACCTGAGGTTATAATTTTTAGCCCATTTTTATGAAACTGAACATGTGTATCGTACCGTAGCTTCCTGGATTACGGGCCCCTGATTGAACAAAAAAAAAACGTGCTTTATCCAATTTTAAAAACCGTTCAAATATATCACCGTTAGACCATAATGACAGTTCGAATTTCGTGAATTGGTTTGTGCCTTTGATCCTGTGTCCTGTCACTTATATCAGAGTAGTATCCTCCATATTAACCACAGTACTAAGAATATTATCAATATCTAAATCATTTTCGTGAGCAGCCTTTCCATCACAACTTTGACGGCTATTATCCCCATATGAAGAACATTACAATTTTTACGACTATTATCTTCCACGTCGAGTACATTACCAAATGTAATCAGTATCCAAATGCTTATCACATATATTCTCATTAATATTTGTTTTCGACTGTGTTATAAACATGTCGTCTCTATGTCGAATATTTTGGACTGTCTGTGTATGTTTGCATTGTATGATTGGAGTGTTTTGTCACATGCGTTCATGGGCATACATGTAGTTTTAAGAATATATCCATTATTTTGTGGCTTGTTCTTTTAGAAAGCTATCCATTATTTGTATCTCTATAGTGCTATGTTTTAAGTTTGATAATAGCCTCAGACTGTCCATTATGTAAATAGAAAGAAAACCCTCGGGGCTATAGCCCCTCACTGAACGGTGGATTGTTCCCACCTGGGCTCTAGCTTTAAACAGTTTTTTTTTTCACTGTTTCAGATTGAACACCATTAAATTGGTCAATACAGTGTATGAACACGATAATAACTAACAACTATGTGTACTCCATTGACACAAATTTCAGGTATTCGGAACAATGCTTCAAGACTAAATACTCACACATTTTAGTCTCGGTCGTAACTATCCTGAAATGTGGACACGGACTGTTTAAGTAATTATTTATCTTGAAGCTAGATTCTCTGGAAATATGCAATGGTAGCTAGCTGGGAGAGTTTATTAACCATTAATTAAGGCAATATTATGTTCTCGGTATCACTACTCTGATTAAAATTTGATCTTTATTTCATTCCGATTTTTTTTTTGGTTTGCTATGACGATTGTCTATATGTAAATTACTTATTTATCCGTTCTTTTTTTAAGTCTAGTTCATTTCGGAACAGTCCCTGATCGGGCAAAGTCCTGTGACCGTTCCTGTCGGTCCTTATTAAGCTGACGAACGGTCAGGGGACTTTGAAGTCTAGCCAATGTGACAGGTTAAAAATAATTCTTGCTCCAGCCAAACCATCCGTTCGTTATCTCAGAAAGGGCAGGGTCATATGAATTGAACACAAACTTCTTTAAAATACTTTTCGCCTTAACTTTACTTAGTGGGTGCCAAAAGAAAATGAAGTAGAGCCTCGCCTTTTTCAGTATTTCCGTATATTCCTTTGGTTAAAACCTAGTAAATAACTAATCTTCAATCTCATACCCATTTAATTACTGCATATGTACCCCGAGTATTGTATTGTTGGCCTTCACTAGCTCATGAATGCAAAATTGGCAATGGTTCAAATGAGAGAGTTCTATTTAAGCTAGTTACTATACTTGTAACGTTAAACTGTGTGTTTAACGTTACAATTGATACAGTCTAAGAATCCTTACACAAGTTCAAATAGGTTCAAACGCACAATTGTCAACACATATCATTACAGTTTGTATTGGAATAAGTAATTCTATGACAAATAGTGAAGACTGGACCACTAAACAGTTACCGAACAGTTTTTCTTTGTGGTTATGCGTTCTACATTTGCATAGCGGTGTTTCTTGTGATGACGTATTACACACAAGCGGCCATGACATCAGCCTGTTGAAATTTCGCGTAGCAGTTGAGTTTCATCAAATCATATAATTATGCGGTAGGCTTCACCTTTATTTCAATAGGAATTGATTTATTATATGTTAAGCTAAGTGCAGTACTGTTTTGGGTCAGTTTATGTGTAAATTAAGGGAGGTATAGGCCAGTAAACTTTTTGTAGTGATTTCACTAAAAAACTTGCGCAAAGGAACTCCGTAAGGACGAGCCACTGCGACCGGGGTTGGGGTGGGTGTTCTTTTGTGAGGTATACAATCTGGAACTGATGATGTCGTTGCGAAATCTCGATTCATTGTCCACAGTACGCACGTACTTGTTCTTTGAATCACAGGCTTGTGTTTCTGCTATGATCCGCTTCTGATTAAACCTGGCACCTGAAAGATGACTTAGCTAGTGCATATCACACTAAGGACAAGGACAGAATAAACAACTCAAAACACAGTAACGATTCTCAATAAATTTTAATACAATTTATTTAGTTGTACCTTGCCAAACCACGACACAATGCGAACTAACACAAGATAAATCCACTGAAAGTAGATGGTTGGAATCCACATCAAAATTAGAAGTTGTAAAACATTGAAACTGTGACTCTTTTTAAAGAGCCCATTTCTGTTAGAATGTTACAGACTGACTGGTGTACTAAAACAAATATCTTGATAAAATGACCAACTAATGTTTGAACTCTATGGACATGGCCGATTTTATTCTTATCTGTATTGACTAGATAAATTTATAAAATATATGTAAAAACATATCTTTTATATAATAATTTCATAAAATTAGGCAAGACCGGAGAATTTCCTAAAACGAAAAATCTCTTCCAATCAGCTTTTAATCAAGAGAGGATTTAATGGCATTAGAATAAAATAAGAGGACCTCAAGTAATGATGACAAACATTTAATTAGGACCCCATAAAATGAGATGACAAACATTAAGGACTTATATCTCCAGTAATTAACATGGACGGAATTAATGGAATCTTTAACAACCTTTTATAAAATCACAACTCAAAACAGGTACATAATGTATCTTGAATAACATATAGAAGAAAAAACTATAGACTTGGTCAACAAATATTTCTTTTGATAGTATTAAAATGCCATTAAACCCTTTCTATGATGTTAATATACTTTAATTTGCCTTTGAACACATTCTTTTCTTTGATTTCATATTTTATTGATTTTCCTTACTCTATATTGATTTTTTAATTAATTTCCTAATCTTAAAAAAAAAAATTAATATACCTGGAAAATAAATTTTCAACAGGGTAAAAAAAAAAAAAAAAATTCAACAGAGCATAACCGATTTGTCAGAATTACTCAACAAATATTCATCATCATATTTGGGAATTTTAATTTAAATCATGATGAAATGTACTTCATGACTAAAATACTTGGCCAAAATATCAGGAAAAAACCTTTTTTCTGATTATTTGATTCTACACACATTGTTTAAATAAACTAAAAAAAAATAAAATAAAGAAATCTGAGACACATTTTAAATTCATAATTATAATAAACATGTCTTATTGTGCTAAAAATATATGATAATAAAGTGATAGATATTGCATTAAATTACACACTATCGCTAAATTTGCAATTTTTGATTTAATAATATTTTAGTCTGAAGAATTCTGAACACAATTATTAACAATGTAATCATACATCTACTTTTATCTGTTTGTAGTCTACTCCATTCTAACCTATATTCCTGTAAAGTTAGTCGTTATATATGCAATACAATACCATACATTCATTTGAAGGACAAAATCACATACATTATTTCTAATAAGAATATCAAGTGTTAAAATGTGTGTGATATGTGGCTCTATTTGTCGATCTAGATTAATGCTGATTAAAGAGAAATAAATGCAGATTAAAACGATATGTTACAACATCTGATCTGAGTGATTTGTATTTTAAAAAACATGAACCTGTGCTAAACCAACAAACTACAAGTGAATGAAGAACATGTTCAGTTGTGTTAATCCTACTTTGTGAAGTTAGTCGTATGTTAGGCAGTCACGAATAAAACACATTAAACAATAAATGTAATTACTTCAAAATAACAGAACAGATTTGACAAAGGAACAATTTTAAGTCAAAAACTGCCATGTCCGTTAAAATGTGAAAACTTGTAAGAACATGATTATAGTGGACACTGGGCCTGAGCTTTTCAATATCAATCTGACAGCTAAACTAATTATAATAACAAACAGAAATACTGTTAACATTACTTTACAGAACATAATTATATAATAATAATAATAATATAATATAATATATAGGCAAGGCGGCACTGTACAATAAACTTGCTTTAAAAGCTTTAGAAAGGAAACTGCTGAACAACATTCACAACTTTACATGAAAGGTCCTGAGATTGATGGATGTTTTATTTTTCGACATTACTATGGGCCCTAATGAAATGCAACTGAAAACAATAATTGTGAGCCTTAAAAACAGAGTACTCCATAATATATTCACAAATATTTCTAACACCACAATCGGCAAATCTGAGATCAGATCATAAACCAAAAGACACAAATGAAAAATAAATCAATTTTGAATTCAGTTTTGACAAATATAAGGTAAGTTTACAGGTACTGGTGGCTAAATATAAAACATAAACTCCATCACACATCATAGAGGCCATAAAAATATCACAAAAAGATCCAGTATTTTCAACAAATAGCTAAAACTCTTTTTTGTTTACAATCACAATGAAATATTCTGAACACAACACACCCATAGTAATATGTCAAATTATTAAATACAAACTTCACACAGTGTCATTACACTCTTCAAGAACAAACTTTCACTTAAGGAAAAAGGGTTAAACATTACAACATTAAAATGCGAATAATTTTGATTTGTTTCTACACATTATCGCAACACGAAATAAAGAAGTAACAACAACTTTTCATTTCAAAACACTGCAAACATTGGTATGACTTTTCCAAAGACAAAGTCATTTTAATACAAGACAACTTTAAACACCTTTACATATCTAGACTAAATTATCAATGTAGATGTAAGGCATGGCTCAGATAAAATACATATCTTACAAGAATTTGTTTGTTTTTTTTTTCACAACACGAAAAACTAAGAGTGAGGCAGTTAGAATTTGGTCCTCCTAAAAGTTATTCAAATTTGTTATTATCTAAAATGAATACCTTGAACTACTGTTTTATCTGAACTCCTGTTAAATATCAGTACAATAATAGATCTGTCCAAGAAAAAATTAACAGCATTACTCTTAGTTTTACTCTGATAAAAAATGAAGATGGTACCCCTGTGGAACATTCATAACATAAGCATGGTTTACATGTACAATAACATAAATCAAAAACCCTGATTATAATAATGTACAATATAAAATCATGAATAATTAATAAATAAATCAAGAATATATCCCTTTTACATCCAGCTAGTCAAACTATTAATTTATGTACATTGAGACATTAGTTGTTGATTCTCAGACTCATTAATTAATAAACAATTAAAATAATGATTGACACAATAAACTCAAACACCAAATCAAGACAAAATAAACACAAATACAAAATGAGCAGACTTTTAAAACAATGAATACTTTGGCATTAAAATACTAAGAGGGTGAAGTTCTCACTTCTAAACCCAACTTAACATAATCATCTGAATATGCATTACTATGATCAGAAACAAGTTGTGGGCTATTCACCAGTACAGTTTTAATACAATTGGAAGCAAGAAAGACAGAATACACCCAGTAATACAAGGTTTTTGATTGAATACATTTTGATATACCAATAGACTTAATACCAACGAGTTAAAAAGTTACACAAAATATAACCATGATCGATATATAATACTGTGAAATAAAATAAAATACTGAATTACAAACTAGATACTGAAAATATTGAGCTTGTGTAATAATGTATTAATATGATCATTAACTTAATACATATTCAGATCATCAGACACAGGTAGATAAAACAAGAAACTAATGATTGTATATAAGTCGAAAGACTGAATTCCTCTCCACATTACATTTATTAACATTTTAGATTCTTTCATATTCATAAAATTTATAAACTCAACTATATTTGTAATAAGTACATTCATATATTATTATATACACACCCATATAATATGGTACTACCTGTGTCTGTAACGTACAAAATATAGTATGTAGGTTACTAGTATATATAACCCAACACCTTAACCTACATACATAAACATAGAATTATAATAATGACCACTTTAATATTCCACAGAGGTACCCTAAATATATACCATCATACTAATTAGCATTAATCAAACGTCTGCTGTTACGCAGATAAATCAAACAGGAATCACCGCCATCATTTGTGATGTTGCTTTGTTTTGATTGGATTAGAAATCAACTGTAACCAAATCGAGGAAGCTGTTTACGTAGGCAGAACACTTACAATAGCAACACGTGACAGGCAAACGTAGAAGAGGAGACATTGGACGCCACGGTACATGGGTAACACACCACGGTGTCATCTACATAGAAAAGAAGCAGAAAAGAATGAAATTAAAACAAATTTGCTAGAAGCTGTTTACATGTAATTTACATCTGGCCTTTGTTATAATTTATCTTCTATCTTCTATGTATATTATATAAATAAGTAAAATATTTATAGTAATTCTTCTTTATTCATATATTTGTGTAATTTATATGAGTATATTTTGACAAGAAATTTTTTTTCGCTGGAAGAAAATACATTATTAGAAACACTTCACAGACGTTTGTTATTCACACAAAACATATCCATCCTTTTATTTACATCTCAAATTAAAACTCCATAGGCTGTGCGAATATATTTTGTGGAGATGTCCTGGTAATTCAACACCTAAACAACATCACATGCAAACTGGTGATATTTAGTAGCGAAGTGATGTGTAAGTTCAAAAATAAAATGAAAGAGTTATTGTAGGAGAAGATAACTACATGTACAGCATAGAAAATACAAAGGCCAGACATAAATAGAATAATATATATATATATATATATAAACAAAACATAGGTAACACAAACTAAATATTACAAAAATATAAACAGTTTGCATGCACGGTTAACATAAACTTTTAAAATAAATAAATAAAGTTTAAACAGGAAAAAAAAAAAAAAATTAACACCGAGACTCTTGGCTCCTGCCTCAATTCCAAAATAAATAGATTGTGTTTTAAAAAGTGAGACAGACAGACAGATAGACAAACTCATTTTAATATTTCCCTGCTTTCTTTGAAAGGCAATCAACAAAACAACAAGCGTAGACCCACATTTTGCAAGAGATGGACAGTAGTGTTGAAACTACTATTCGGATATCCGTTATGTTCTATATATATATATATAGACATTTTTATATGTGATCACATACGCAGCTCTGTCTTTTTTAAACTTAGTATAAATATCACTATATTATGTCATATTATTTAGCGATACTAATAAAGAATGCATTTTTAAATTCTTGTATATTCCAGTAAATCCACTCGACACCGAATTTGTCTTGTGTGGTTTGTTCATCCACATGCTGTCAAATCTCGATCCCGACACAGTGAACAAACTCATGAGAAGCTTTAAATAATAAAAAAAAATAAAGTAACTAACATTCTAGGTAGGTCACAAATTGTGATCATGTGTATCAAAAGTGTGGTGAATATTTTATTATTTTTTTTTTTCGTTTTTTTTCTTGTTGACTGTTGAATTTAATATTTGGTAATTTTGAAACGAATCCATGACATGAGTGATGTGCAAAATAATAAAATTGGGTAAATATTATACTATCCATGGGTAGATCATCGACAGTATTTCACTGTTTTAGAGTTTTTAATTTTGTTTTATCACTATCGGTTATTTAGTATTAAATTTTTAATGCAACGAAAGAAGTAAATAAAATATATTTATTTATTTTTTGGGTTGGTTTACGGGATACGAGGCTAGGATTTAGACTTCCCGCAGTAGAATACCAGAACAAGGTGACTGACCTTGGTGGGATAAATCTGACCTGTCATAGTGGTGTTTTTATTTTAATTTTTTATTCGTGTTGAGGTAAATGAAAAGTAGCAGGACTGAGAATTGGCGGGGTAGTGATACAAAAATTTTGTTACCTAACGGATAGTCCTAATAATAGCTAATATACGACTAAAGGTGGCCTAGGCACGTTTTTTTTTCTCGCATACACAGACTTGACAGACACTCCTCAACAAGTAAGAAATTGCGAGTATACGAACTTCTTAGCTAATTTTGTTCAAGAATTTTACATTTTCAAATAATCCGAATAGTATTCGGATAGCAAACAAAAGTATTCGGATACCAAATCTCGATCCGATTTTCAATAATAATGAACAAAGAACAAGGGTCCACAAGCTAAAAAAGTGATCTTTCGTACAATCAGCAGTCATAATCCAGGATATTACAGTCTGGCATGCGACAATATCAAAAGGAACCGAGATCTTTGGGATATAAGCATACATTTTAAGTTTCATCAAAATCGGATAAAAATTGTGACCCCTAGAGTGTCAACAAGCTAAAAACATGATTGTTCATACAATTAGGGACCATAATCCATAAAGTTACAGTCTCATACATGCCAATATCGAAAAGGATATAAACCTGTATTTCAAGTTTCGTCAAAATTGGATAAAAATTGTGACCTATAAATGTGAATACACAGCATTGCGGATGGAGCTAAGTTGCACAGCAAAGTGTAGTTTGGGAAAAAAAACCAATAAAATACTAAATATATATAAACAAAACCACAAAGTGGTATTACACAAGGTGAAAAAAAACACAAAAAAACCAGACAACATTTCAACATAAAACTCTTTGGATCCTGGTAGTTGGCACTTCTGGAAAGCGTTCTTCTTTATTTCTGGCATTATAATTTGGATCTAAATAAGTCAGTTCTCAATTATAATTATTATATTTTATTAATTTCAAATAGAACTCTATTTTTCCAAAACTGAGTTTTTCATTGATTAGTTCTATCTCACAAATATGATTAAAGGACTATTACTGTATTTGAATACCACAACTTGTGCATAAAAATATATTGATTTAAAAAAAAAAAGAACCAACTTATTTATTCAAATGTATATATGTTTTGTTCTTGTAACAATACAGATGTACAATATAAAACATGAACTAGATGTTGTTTATTAACAATAACTAGCTTACTATAGAATTATTACTATACCTGTTATTATAATGTACCTACCTTATGTTTCCTCTAATATGGTTTACTATCATGTTTTGGACGTTTCAATTGGACTTTCAAGCGTTTCATGCCTATCTGAAATCCATTCATTGCTTGTATGGCTGCTGAAGCAGAGACTGGACTGTCGTAACTTACAAAACCTAAAATATAAATTTTCAGATTTAAAAGTAGTATTAATTTTTTTTCGATTACAAATTTCAGAAAACAATGATATCCCCCAGTATAATATATGACCTCTTTAGACCAACTTAATTGACCAAGATTTACACATCTAATTTTCTGCAAAAGAATATATACAAGTCATTTCAAAATATTATGGTGTCATCTATTGATTACAGGCAGTAATAAATATATCAAATATACACCTCTAAAGATGTCACACACTTACCAAAACATTTGCTGAGGTTTGTTTGTTTATCAATGAAAACTTTTGCAGACACAACATTTCCAAATGGCATGAACATCTGTGTCAAATCAGGATCAGTGAATTCTTGGGGAAGATGATAAATAAACAAGTTGGCACCATCAGGCCCTGGTTAAAATTAAACATAGAATATACAATCTTTGATAATTTTCAGAATAAAAAATAATGATGTGAGGAATTCTTAATCCAGCTTCTATTGAAGCTAAAATCTAGATTAGTGTGAAGATACAAGTGACAATAAAGTGATATTCAGTTGAACTTTCTGGAATTGAATTCTCTAAATCCCCAAAATAGTGACGATTAAGTGAAAAGAGCGGATTTGAGACTAACGCATGCGCTGATTGAATAAGAAAATATCACAACCAACCATGGCAGCTGAAGCATTTGTTTGGTTTAATTACGTCACGATTCTACTCACACCACCTCCGTTTTCGGGACAGACTGAACTGTGACAGAACTCAATTCTATCAATCGTTATGTTGTGGACTGGATATCAAGCATCCCGTCAATATAAGTCTGCTGAGACACAAAGCCTTAACTTAAATGACATTCTTATTACACATCCAGTAAACAGTTCCAAAAATTGATAGTCAAGCGATCGAGGGCAGAAATAGTGGAGTAGTTGTCTATAATGCCCCAGGTTCAAATTTTAAATCCAGGCACGGATCCAGATAACCTTTAGCTCAACATCACTTAACTGGTGTGGCACCTATGAGGCTCAGACTAGCAAAATTTGCCTAGATTTTTGGAGAGAGAGAGAGAGGAATGGGGTTTAACGTCCACTCGACACATACTAGGTCATTTCGGGACTAACATATGGTTCAATTTTATTTCAATAATTCGCATGTGCGTAGGGGTCTTTAGCAGTGGGAGGAAACCGGAGGACCCGGAGACCCACGACATTGGACAGGCGACCCTACTCCTTGTCACGTACAACCGGGAAATCGAAACCACGCCAGTTGACTCAATGACAGACCGTATGATGCAGCACGTGCGTGCTAACCATTCGGCCACCCAACGCCCCCGCCTAGATTTTTGGATTTTTGGACTAGAGTCTATTAATCTATAAATAGCCATTGTACGTGAAATTCTCAACACATTTATCAACTATTACAGCCGTAAAAAATCTTGTTGACGATTCTGAATAGCAGTAGTATTTAGCTTTTTGGTTATTACAGCACCTTTAGGAATTACGTTCGTTTTATTTTTTAAATTGCTTTATCATTAACTATACCGTTAGGAGCGGCATCTTTTAGTTTAGTACAAATAATATCTCTGAAATACTCGGGTTAGGCAAGAACATGATACTAGCAGTAGTTTACTTTTACTTTTACAAGGTTCTTAAAACATTTGTTGAGTTAACTAACGTGTGTGTTTCTAAATTCAATTTCTTGTTCCAGCTTTCAGTTATGTTTCATACAAAAGTAGTCTTGATTATCCTTGCCTGTTAATCAGACGGAGAATGCATGGTCGGTAGACTGGTTAAGCGAGAATAAGTTTAAAACAAGGGCATGTAACCTATTTTTAACTCAAAAGTGCCTGGATGTTATGGCTGACACTTGTAACCATTTTTTCAGTCTATAAATTATGGATGGTTAAATGGTCATAGCTTATTAAGTACAACATGACCGTTTATTTAGTAACTATAAATGTGTGAAACTGATTTAAGGTTTGGTATATATATAAATATTGTGGTGTTATTGTCGAGATATTTATGTATGGTGGGGCACCCTATCTATTATATGTAAACTAAGAATGATCAAAGTATGGTTAAATTCCATTCCATGTCAAAAAAATTCAATACGATTGTCTTGTAAATAGTGATGTGGCATAAAATATCACATCAAAAATTCTGATTGTGTCTAATCTTAAATAGTTTATAACAAATACAAGTAGCTGTAAAGAATATCCTGTTTAAACAATCACTGACTTTCTTCTTTAACTAAACACATTGTTTCTTTTCATACTGGAATGTTACACCATAGGAATGGAACAAAACATGACACATATTTGTTACCAAGTTATGTGTTAGGAGAGATTTGTTATGGGACAGTACATTGTCACTGTAGCCATATTTTACATACCTTCTGACTGTTTACCTAAAGGTGAATTATTTGCCACTGCCGCTTGTTGTATTTGGGCTGAAGGATTATTAAAGGCATTAGGAAAAGAGGCTGAAAGAGTCAGAAATAAATATTTGGTTAGTGTGATGTACACTGAATAGATTGCAGCCAGGGAATCATTATATTATACTAATATTACTTCTAATTACATCATCTAATATATGCTTTGAACTCTGTAGGTCATGATGAATAGTGATATGATGACTTTATTAGTTGATTAATCATATTAATTGCTGAATTAATCAACACAATTAAATTACTAAGCACATTTTCACCATACAATTTACAAAGGGTATTATTAATAATTAATAAATCATATCAAGATATTAAAATTAGAAGCCCCACAAAGCAATTAATTTAGTCATCTCAAAGTTAACACGTGATGATAAATTTAAGTGAAAACATTTAACGATGGTATCATTCAAATTCCCTAAAACACACTATAACATTACATGCTTAATTTATAACTTCATCTATATAGCAAATAGAAAAATATGGAATTCTCACAACAACTTTCATATTAAAAAACATGCAGAATGTATGGAAAGGTACTTAAAATAGTTGTGTGAAGGATGTCTTTCTTGAGCATGTTTTTCTTTTAAGAAAGCAGGGGTACAATTGTAGGATATACCAAGCTTTCATTGATTTGCAATAAGTTTTGTGAAACAATATTTTATTTATCTGATCACTTATTTAATTGTCATAATAAAAACAGAATTTCCTCTTGATCAATAATTAATATTATTTGAGTTTACTTAAAAATCAACATTCCATTCAAATACCTTTGCTTTTAAGTCCCTAGGAAAACATTGGCATGTAAAATGCATTATAAATAAAAGAAATGAAAATGAAACTGCTAATGTTTGTTAGTAATAAATCCATACATTTTGTTATTACACTTCATATAATACAGTTTGCTACCCAACCAGAGTATAATAAATATAGTTTACTACGAAAATAGTGAAAGACTTGCAGTCAATACACCAAATTTCTATAAATTGTGTGGGTAGCAGGGATTCTATATATTTATTATAAGTTCAAATAAAGCAAAGCCTGTATTATACTTCATGCATCACACTGGTTTATAGTCAGTTACCAAATCTTATTCCATGTAAAAACACTTTTTCATAATAAAGAACTTTCATTTAAGATTTAACAATTATTTCAATATCGTTTTCAGCTTGATGGAACCAAAGTAAAAAACTGGTTTAATTTTTAACGCAATTTGGAATAAGATTTAATAAACAAGGGGGCACAACTCTTGCCAGGTCAGGTGACACTTAACAAACTGAACAACTAAACAACAAACAGTGTCACTGGGATAACGCAGCAAACCAATGTGAACAAAAATGAAAATGGATGTTTACCTTGATTGATTAAACCTGACAAACCTGCATATTGCTGTATGCCACTATAGGCCTGGCTGAGGGCATCCATGCCACTGGTATTTGACGAGCCGAGACCATTAGCCATACTAGGTACCTGGTTAAAACTGGATATACTCGATAAATTATTGCCACCAAGTCCTTGAAAACTGGACAGTCCACCAAGTGCACTACTGGAAGTTGTACCAGACAGAGAGCCTGAAAAATAAAGTGTAAAAACATTTTAAAGAGAATACAACTGTGGCAGTGGCAATAAATGGATTGAACAAGAAGTCATGTAGCTATGAACAACCAGCTATTTAGAATGAATTTGATTGAGAGTTTTACTCTTATAATGTCAAGCAAGCATGTGATTCTACTGTGCATGGAAGCTAACAAATTAATCCCCTGTATGTACCCCATGGGTTTACTGTTAAACACAAACGATTCTTTAATAGACAAGAAATTTATCATTTTAATAATTGTTTCCATTTTTTTTTTAAAACTGTACTATTTTAAAACCTATGATAGAAATAAAGATACAGAGGATCCAGAAATGTGAATTAAAAAATATTTCAACAGATCACAGACCAAGACAATGTTTCAAAATAAAAATCACAGGTACAATAATGAAGAGACAGAACAACAAAAATAGATAAGACGCCATCTAATACCACATTTATTATTGGTTTAGGTTCTTACCAAGAGGTACATGTATTCCCTTTCCGTGCAATGCTTTAAAACCATACAAATAGCAGAAATATAGCAACTTTGCCCATAATAATAACAATAATTGTACACAGAGATATAAGGTAAAATAATAAAACACAGACTTGTAATAATTATATTAAAGCAGGCTTCTCCGATTGACTGAAGCACATAAAATAATAGAGGGGTCAATGAATTTAAACTTAATTATTGTTAATATATTGAGTTCTGATGGGAAATATAATTCAGGTTAAATGAACATTTGGGGATAAATATAAAATAATGATCTAATATTGTAGATTGAAATGTTACACTAAGCAAACCAGAATGGATAAAATTGTGTTTTTATGTATGAGCTTTGAACAATACCAGTGAAGGGAGAGAGAGAGGGAGAAATGGGGGTTTAACATCCACTCAACACAAACTAGGTTATTTTGGGACTAACATATGGTTCAATTTTATTTCAATAATTCGCTTGCACATAGGGGTCTTTAGCAGTGGGAGAAAACCGGAGGACCCAGAGAAAACTCATGGGGTTGGACAGGCGATCCTACTCCTTGTCACGTACAACCGGGGCATCGAAACCACGCCAGTTGACTCAATGACAAGACCTTATGATACAGTGCTCATGTGCTAACCATTCAGCCACCCAACCCTCTATACGGTCAGTGAAGATAATAATGCTCAATAACAGCTTTATGGAAATGTATAGACCTATCATTAGCATGTATGGAACAGTCTTTGGAATTTATTAGCTTTAGTTATTCAAGTGACAAATATAGAAAAATATATTATCTGAATTCAAAATCAGAAAGTCCAATTAAACCTCTGAAAAATATATGACATAACCCCACAAATTTCTTGAAGGGAGACTACTCTGTACAATGTTCCATACAGCCATATTATCTCCCCTTAGACCACAGATCACCTGTACAATGATGATTATAAAGTACAATGTTAGTGTCCACAAATTTCACATATGTGATAGAACTGGTTCAACACATTACAAATATTATTTTTCACTTTCTCTGTTCTCGTGGCAGTCAATTCCCTTTTAAATAATTAGATTCGAAAATATATTCTCTCACATCTAATTTAACAACTCTTCGTTGTCTCAGGAATTATCAGCGAGCTTAAACTTGTGAAGCGGTTATCACTCGTTACTTCGGTCAGTAACGATAACTGCTTTTCTTTATATGTGACTTCCTGATTCATCAAATCTTGGTTACAGATCAACTATAGCAAAGATCTTTGTGTGAAAATTATACTTGGTTGGAATGGTTTTAAGATGTTCTATCATATACGTAATATTGGTGTGTACAGACATTTTCCTTTATAATACATTCATTGTAGTGCTCGACTAGTACACAAGATATATCAAGATTCATATTTTACCTGAAACACTTGCTGAACTTTGACTTGTGGCTGCTGCAAACTGATTTAGACCCAGATTTTGGACACCTAGAGCATTAAGAGTAGCTGCAAAACAATCAACTAATGCTTAGTGATAGAATAATAAAAATCAGGCACAACTGATCTTAACGAATGGTCAACTACACAGTCCAGAGCAGGGATCTTAATCTGCTATTTTTTGTCGGCTTTAGCCGTCTAATGTTTAATCAAGCTGATTGGTGAAACAATAAACCGGTCACTATGGTATCATAAATCAATCTACTTTCATCTGAGTTACAAAGAGTTAATTATTACTTTTCGATTATCAAAGCAATTAGCAGTAAAACCATACAGTCTTGCAAATAAACATGTTAGACGAGTCAGTCATGCCTAGTAGAATAATGTATATAATCCAATAATCCAATGTCAGTTCAATAATTAATTAATCACTTTCTAAAACAATGTTAAAGTATTTGATGACCTCACAGAATGACAACAGGAAACGAAAACGAGATTCCGCCTACGTTATTGATGGTGGCATTGACCTTGAATTCAGACTGACACATTTTCATTGGATGTTCCGAAATCCAGAGATTCTCCCACGTCCAATATACATGTAGGTCAACCAAAGTCAGAGGTCGAAAGATATTTTAAATCCAAATGGTTAACCAGTTACAAATAGCTTTTGTTCAACAAAAATTCACGGAAAATGTTTTCTCTTGTACTTTATTACTTTTATAATAAGTCAGGTAATAATCTACTGATCCCGACAGTTTTATATGAAGTCTCTCAATATTACCGTGTATTATTTACACATCTGGACTTCAGAGGACAAATTCCATTGATACATTTAGGTTAATGTTGGTTGATTTTTTAACATTACTCTTGGGTCATATTATCCCATAAAAGTGGGTGTAATGTTCAGATACAGTATAATTACTTTGTGAGAAAAAAGAAAAAAAAAATGAGAACTGCACTATTACGGACATTTTTCGCCCTCCAAATTATGATGTCCACATCCATCTTTATACATGTTTTTGTATTTCAGACTTTGTTTTGATATATATATATAATGTTTATTTCGTCAAAAAATATTTGTTGACATGATAATTAGTAAAAACAAATTATGTACCTGGATTCTGAGCCAAACTAGCCAAAGCAGCAATGCCTTGTAGATTTTGAAAATGAACATTATTCTGTGCCTCACCTGCAAAACATAATCAAATTCATTAGTTACAATTTTCATCAATTAATAACAGTACTATAAATTTTGTTAAATAAAACATTGACACCACAAAATAAATATATTTACATTTGTGGTGCAGTAAAATAATTTGGACAACTGAAATTTAAACTAACATGAAATATGATTTGTAATAACTGAAGTACGTCACAGAAGCTTAGGAAAATAAGTTTTAATTGATAAACATCATTAAAAGGTTTTAAATTAAAACTGAAGCTGAATAGTGCACAATATATAATATTATCCAAAGATACTACAGCTATTAGTAAAAGCTAACACAACTTTCTATATAAATTTTTTAAAAGAAAATTAGAAGCAATCAAACGATCCTTCATGTTTTGATAATTTGTTGATTTTGAAAGAAAAAAAGAAAATATTTTTATGATTTTACTCAGGTTAGAATTTTTCTTTCCCCCCCCCCCCCCAACACACAAAAAAAACAAGCCATGTATAATTGACTGACTAAAAGTACATGTATGTTTGTAAAATGAACACATCTGTTAAATTGTATAAGCTGGATCAAGTTATTATTAGAAGTTAGTTAAGACGTGAAAAGAGAAAGCCAGTGTATGAATCATGCCCCACACACTGCATGCTCAATATATGGGCATTTCAACACATGTAGGTATGAGTGCACTTATACTGGAAACACACATAGAAAAGCACACATGTAGAAATTCTCTTTGGGGGTAATAAACTTGAGGCAAATTGGTAATGTACACATCAGACAACAATGAAGTATTCATTAGCTCAAGTTTCTTAGCACCAAACTATTTTGAACCCTCCCAAAAAATCGTTTCCAACACAAATATTTCAAATAATGTCTTTTTTGCTTAGTCTACTATTAGTATTTGAAATCATGATGATGTAAACAGAATTTAATAATATAATGGACAATATTCAACTACAGATTTCACTCCATTTATAAATAGTTTGGTTGATCACATATTAACACAGGTTCTACAACATTCTGCAGCAAGACCACTTTAACGAGTGGATAGTGTGTTTATTGTTATAAAATCAGACATGTATTTCCTATTAAATTTTATCATGCTGGCTCGATTGCATCAATGCCAATGAAACACAAATTATGACATTTTTGTCTTCATTATGTTTATTTTATTAGACAAGGTACGTGAAAACAAACGGCTATTAATACAAACCAGTCGTAAAAATATCAACATAAACCAATAGCTTTAAATAACAACCCCCTAAAAACCTGTTTAATATACGCTTTCAGTCTACTTGACTATCAAAGGTTTGTAATAAATATTATCAGTAGTGAAAATATAGTATCACATAACAAAAGGGAGCATCATTTACTTCAATCTCATCATCAAGTGGGATTCCTATAACTTTATTTCCTTACAACATATGTTAGCAAGATGAATATGAAAACATGATTTGCACCTTAGAGAGTGTATAATATATTTATCTGAGAGCTAAATCTCATCATGTGGTCATATGATATATATATTTTGATATAATTTATATACATGTAGAACTATAGATTTGTTTCTATTCCAAACTCATTCTTATCTTGAGGTACATGTATTATATTTGTAATGACCATGAACAAGTATAGTCTTAATTTACTTAAAAGCTTAATAAAGTTCATTAATCTTTATTATAAATCATCCAACTACACAAGCTACTACAATCAATGTTTTTATATTTAGGACCCACAGAAAATATATGTTTAAATGTGTTATAATTTAGGACCCACAGAAAATATATGTTTAAATGTGTTATAATTGTAGAATTATTATGTAGTTTTACCACAAATGCAAAATATAATTTCATCAAATCAATCACATACATAATGTGTTCCTAATTCCCTGAAAATATTATTACATTTGTATAACTTTGTACTCTTAATGTGGGTCCAGGGTTTGATCCCTGTGATAGCCAATAAAGTTCCATAAAATTTCCATTCTAGCATACTACATGGCCATCTTCATAATTCCAGTTGTTGCAGAAAGTAGGATATTAGTCATTTCGGGACTAATATTTCATATTAAAATAAATATATTATCAGGGTGTCAATGGGATAGGTATCAATTTAAAAATTGTGTTAAATAATAAAAATCAATTTGTACAACAGGATATAAACGCATCTATTGTGTGAGGGTATAACATGTACATGTAATCAATATTGTTTGTAGGAGTTTTTGCCAATAACCAGTTATTTGACAGCTAAATTTCAGATTATTATATATTGTGTAATATAGATAATATTGATGAACTAGTTTTCAACAAATATAAATGACAGGTGAGCTACAATCTATAGAACACAACACTCGAGTAATTGCATATCAAAATTTATTTTAGGTTATTTTATCAAGTTTCAAACAAACACATTGCAAGATGAGAGCAACTGTGCAAATATATGTTATATATAATATAGTATGTGCATATATCAATAACCTTATGGTGTATAACTGAAAGCGTATATAGATTGAATATTGTCATAAAAACAATGAATTGTTATTCAGAAAAGAAGTGTATATTTATTATTAGTTGAAAGAAATGAATGATGTTGTGGAACTACATGAAATAAGTCTAATCATAAGCAAAGATTTATTTATAATTAAAAAAAAACCAGCAAAAAAAAAAAAAAAAAAAAAAAATTCAAAATATTTAAAACAAAAGATTGAAGAAAACTGAACAGAACAAGCAATGACAATGTGCATGCATTATCGTTCTGAGAACAAAAACTCTGTCACTCCAGGCATTTTCGAGACGTAGAATTGTCAGAATATGTAATTTGTATTCATTACATTTTTTTGTAATATGCAAGTCATGAAATGTATCTGATAAGCTTAGTTTATCTGATAAAATCTAACAGCAGCAATCTCTACATTTTTTACCTATCGAAATAATGAACCTGCACTTGCAGAAGTGCAGGTTCTCCTTTACAGTGCCGTATATAAATTAGCCAGATTGAAAACTTTCGTTATCTTTTCTCGACATACTCAAACAACTCATGCCTCTCGTCAGCACACACAGGAGATGATTAAGAATTATTATACCTGAGGAATGGTTGTTTATATTGGAACAACTTGATGTGCCATTGTTATTGACACCTGGGTTACTGTTGGTGAGGCTTGCTAGGGCTGCTAATAAGCCTGTGGCACAATATCACAAAAACAAGAGTAAGTCTAAAACCTAACACCTTACACAAAAGTCAACACTGAACAGTTTAATTTGTTTATGAAGTGGTAATAGTTTAATTGGATATCTTAGGTAACAGTAATAACAAGGGAAAATATATTACTAAAGAAGTCAACATGCATCTTAATTTTATTTCATAATAGATCTATATATTTATTATATGACCTTAATAAATATCTAAAGCTTATATTTTGTTGACTCCCTTTTTTTTTTTAACTTTTTTTTAGTGATGGCTAATCTACTGAATAAAAAAAACAAAACATGCTGAACCAAATATAAAGGAGTGCACTACCCAAAATAACAAAACAATATTACATGAAAATAATGGATTAATTTGTTTTTAAGTGGTGAGACATTTGTAAATCTTGTTCTTGTTTTAGAAGCCGATGAACGTTGAATTAGATACCATTCATATTGTGTTATAACACTGAAAAACAATGAGGCAGGAAATAGGCTTCCTCTTAATACAGACAATCCATAATCTAACCAAATACATATTATGTTATGGTCAGCTTTTAACAGTTTTTTTTTTTACAAACCATGTTGGCTGTTTGCCAGGATATGGGAATTTCTTTGGCTTTTTACTGAAACTTAATCAACCCAAAAGAATCCACATACCAATTAACTTGCTACTGGAGTGACCTAGATCGTAAAACTGTGTCAAGAAGAAACTTAGCATGTTTCATTGTTTTTACTGGTATAAAATGGCTCACACTAAAAAGAAGAGTTACCTGGATTAGTAGCAGACGCAGCAGCTAATGCAGCCATTAATTGCTGAACACCAAGTGCATTCATTCCTGGAACTAAACAGAAATCAATATTGTCAGTTTAATATCAAACGAAAGAAAAATATCATTTTGACAACTTAATCTACTTTGAAAGACACAAAAAAAGCATTATTCAATTTTCTTTCAGTAGAGTCACATCAGGTCTGATGGGTAATAAGTAAATAGTCTTTAAAATTAATTATAAAAAAAATAAATATGGCTGATCTTATGAATAATTCAAATTAACTACACATTTATTTTTTACTTCACCATATCAAGACCATAAAATGTTTAATAATCTATTCTTAATCTGGAAATTTTTCTGTCAAATAACCATACAATTTGTGTCTTGAACAAATTAAAACTTTATATGCTAGACTCTCTGGTGCTTACATAACACTTTGGTTTTTTTTTTTAATCACTTCCATGTAATCTTGGTTCAAAAAGTGCAAATACAAAAAGACTCCTAGAACAAAGCCAGAGGACATGCTCAATTATAAATCTAATAGGAAATACTTGTGAACGGTCGGAATCAAATAATTTGATAGAAAAACGGTTACTTGTGATGTCTGTTAATATGGATGAAATAGATTTAACAGCATTCATCTCATGTAGGGCTAAATTTACAGCTATCTAGGGAGGAATTATTCTCAAGTAAAAGGAAGTATGCGCATTAGACTTGTATATTTTTAGGTAACAGTACTGATTAACTTGAGACTAGATAATGATCAATGAATTTAACATACCCATGTTTCCTTGAGAAGCCGCTTGCTGTAATAACTGAAATAAACAAATACATGTAGTTAATATAGGTATGCATTAATTTCAATGATATACATTTGTTACACAACATGATCTTATTTTCCCCGTTACATCAAGATTAAAGAGCAGTTAAGTAAAGAGCATGAGATGAAACAAATCAATTAAGAAATATTTGAAATGAAAATGAGTGAAGTATAACAGAAATATATTGCATCTTGATGATGAAAGAAAGAAAGATGTATTAATGAGGTTATCAAACCTACTTATCACTTTACCACAAAGACAAATGAAAGTTTTGATGCCATTGGTCTGACAATGAGATTTTGAAATGTATAATTTCATTGATTGTATTTTTTCTTTTCAATGTGGAAAACATTTGTTTCTTCTGGAGTATCAGAATCTTGAAATGAATTGTATATAGATGTAACAGACAGAGATACATGTTGAAATGAATTGTATATAGATGTAACTGACTGCAATACATATTTTTATCTTGGCAAATATCTACAAAACAAATTCTAATTCAACATTGTTTTAGGCCAAAACTGTATGCATATCTTTTATCTATTGATAAAGATAGCTAAGAAAATATTATTGCGTGATTTGAATTCAATATAAAATGCTTCCAAATATAACTTCTGTACAGAGCTCAAATACTCTACATTAAACATGCCTACAGTTTCCAATTATTGAGAAAAAAATTAGTTTAAATTTCTTCTGTCTATTTGGTTTGTTGGGTATTGTTCAAATAGCTTTTTTAAGAGAAAACTAACATTTATAAAGCTAGGTTTTTGGCAGAGTTTAAAGTGAAACTAATTGTAAACAATAAAAATAAGATAACATCAAGAGGAGGAGTTGGTATCTTATTGATTTACAACCTTTATAATTATATCATGTCGATTTTAATATTTACTGTCCCAATTTCACTATTACACCTGTAGAAATGAAATCGTTACATACAAGGCGAAACAGATGTGTCATTGTCTAACGCCATCTACACGAACATTGATCAGAAATTAATTTGAAACAATTAACAAAATCTATTTACAGAACATCTGTTGCACAGAATAAATTTAACAATATCTATATGTTGACCAGATTTTATTTTACAGACACCAGCCATATATTGATAAAATCATGTTGCCACTTAAGCATTATTAATTTCCATGATTTAAATGAAACAGAAATAAAAGAGATACAAGTCTTATTTAGAAACATTCTTTTTGAAATACAGAACTAAATTTTGATTGTCACCACTTGAACTATATATACAAGTAAAATATACTTTAAAATCACCCAGTGAAATCAATTGAAATTAATGAATACTTCAAATGGCCATTAACTGGCACAATGATTGGCCAATGAGAATAAATGTTTGGATATAGGTTTTTATGTGTAGAATACTTGTGTAATGAGTGTATATGTATCAGAAGTTTGTTTTACAAGCATTGTCTTTAGTGCATTAAAGATGGATTAACATTTATCACAAATGACAGCGATTCAAACATATAAGTAAATAGCGTAATTTACCTGGTATAACAGTAATGGAAGAATAAACAGGGGGAAATGGTATATGATAGCGCTAGTTGATGAATAATGAACAGAGTTTTCAACTACAGGTATTCAATGAAAGTGGTAAATGTAATACCATGGGGAAGAGGATGAATATAGGCCATCTAACAAGCTGACAGATCGCAGACTATATAGCGGTGAATTATTGAACACTAGCTAGCACAATATCGCTGATTAATGAGGCAACAGTGTTGGATATGTATTGTTGTTAATGAAGCTACCAACAAGGCAGGTGATATGTTCTCTGATCGGATCAATACTAACAAAAATCATTATATTCAATCACATAATATACATGTTATATAACAACTACTAATATAATGCACTAGCATAAAATAATGATACAGCACTACTACCATAATTTATGCTGAAAACTATTGAACATTTTTTAACACAATGTTAATAATACAATCTCCTATTTATGATCTAAAGGCTGGAGGTTCATTATAGCACTAAAATTATACTTGAGATCAGACATAAACCTTTTACCATAGGACATACATGTACATACCATTCTCATACCAATCAAAATCAAGGTCTCTTACAGAAAATACTTGAATTTGAACTGACCAAACAGCAATAATGATGCTAATATGGTGCTATAATGAATAGCTGACCGTACAAGCCTAATGATATTAGACCTATAACCTTTAGGACAGAGTTCTTGAAGAGGAACACTTCTTAATGAAATTCTTTAGATCAAACCTGGCTTTATACAGTGGAGTTCATAGATCAATATACAACCTGGTTATCACGCTCTTTATTCAATTTATATTCTATACAAAACTAATAAATTCTCTTAACTATTTTTGTTTCTTGGTTAATTCTGGGTTGCATTCAATCTTTATAGACCTAATGCAGCAAAAACAATAAATACATTTTTCTTGTTCAAAGTCCCAACATGGCAGACTAAAGGTTAAATGTAGAGTTAAAAACTTTTGACAATACTCAACAGAAAATTTAATATAAAACCATTTTGATCAAAATATTATTTAAATCGACCAATTCTAACTTAGGTTTGGTCATTTTAAGAGAGAGAGAAAGAGAAATGGGGTTTTAACGTCATTTTGGACTTAACATATGGTTCAATTTTGTTTTAATAATTAGCTTGCATGTAGGGGTGTTATTATTGGGAGGAAACCTTGGGACCCTGAGAAAACCCAGAAGAATGGACAGGCGAAACCTACTCCTTGTCACACACACACACAAGTGTGGAATTGAAACAACACTACTTGACTCAATAATAGACCTTATGATCTAAAGCACACAAATTAGACCACTCAGCCACCCACCCCCTCCCTGGCCACTGTTATAAAGTTCCCACTTGTTCCAGTTACAAACCTTTTACTTAGCTTTCCTTATCAACTGTAGGTTATATACAATTGAATGATGATTTAAATACTTACTGCAAGGTATTGTGGTCCTAAAGCTCCTAAGCCACCTAAGGACATGTTCCATAAATTGGAGGTCATTTGTTGTAATTTTTTTGCTTCTTTCTCTTTTTGTGTATCAGCAAATTTGACTACCAAAGGCGAAGAACAACCCTAGAAAAAAAATATAATGTACATGACAAATATTTCCTAATATCATGAACACAGATTCTCATTAACAGTTGGATATTAATATAACAGCCTTTTGATGTCGGAAAGAATCAAATTTCACAAGCAAACTGAGCAAAATAAATTGCACAGAAAACTGTTATTCAAGTGTTTTATTCACAATTATCATGCACCATAGTGAGATTTCCACACCGCACCATCACTATATTTCTGTTTAAGGCCAAAGGTTTGAATGGCCAAGAATATAAAATACATCTTTTTCCCCCCATTTTCATCTGAACAAATCACCAGCTATGGATGAATCGGGAAATAAATCCATCAATGATTAAGTTTGGCTCTTATTTGGGTTCTTCCAGTTGTTATTTCTAAACCTCATAAGACTTATTTTATATGTTGATAATGTAATCAAGTTGATAGTCTGGATGATGAAAAGTATGACCAAGTCTTGTATAATACACGATTACATGTTAAGATGATTACAAAATTCAATACTTTTCTTTCCCAAGATGAAATAGTCATCTTGACTTTATTTTCCAATAATACAAAAATAAACCAAAAAACAATTTGTCCACAGAAAAACATGTTGATAGCACAAGACTAATTTACAAGTGAGATAGTGATGATATAAATTTAATAAAAAAGGTATGCTATATGGAATACGTTAAAAAACAACAGACATGTTAATCTCCTCAGACAATTCAACATGTAAAATTGGTTACAGGAAATCAAATTGGAAGCCTTTTCTTGTTGTTATAAGTTTTATCTTTTGGTACCAGTATGTCTTATTGCTCTCCAAGGTTAAAGCCAAGCCAATGCTTGTTTTGGCATTATTTATTAGTTACCAGCTTATCTAATACAAATGAATGTCGACTTATTTCCTAGCTTTTTATAACCTGTCTAGAGGTCGTGAACTGTAGTTTTTACACTCTATAATACAAGGCAGACATCACCTACCTCCATTGTTTGTGAATGATGCATATTTTTTATAGAATTCTGTGCACTCTGTCTGTTAGCATATGTAATAAAAGCACAACCTGAAATACAACACAAATAACAAATTAGCAAAGTTAATAATTAGCCACATAAATATATTTAATGAGATCGAGGTATTTTTATTTTTGATTTGATCAAATTAACATTGTCAATTTTATTAAAATGAATGTGTTAATTTGTTTTGAGGGATGGGAATCTGTATATTTAGAGATAAAACCAATGATGAGATTGTGAAAGCCATCATGTAAACTATAGGTCTCTTTTCTTCATCTGGCACTATATTCAGATTTTTATTTTATTGCCACTACAGCCCAAAATGTAACCTAGAGAATATGATCTATTTTCCTTAATTAAGGTTAACTCATAATATCGATTATGGGGGTTCTTGGAAAACAGAGGGCTATTATCTGATACCCTGATAGGTCCATTCAAAATATGGCTTTAAGAGTAAATGTAAGACTAAAAGTTATCTGGATATTTAATAAAACTGATTACATGTACCAGCATAAACTTAAATATATCAAGTAGACTTATTGTAAAGGTTGAATAATTTCTATTTTTCTAATCAGATATGCTGTCTTTCAAGAGAAAGACTGGATCATAGCATGTGAATTATGTACAGCAATCGTAAACTATACCGAGAGGCAATGAAAATGCACCATGTTTTTAGATGGACGATTTTAATTCTTGTTTCAGAGATACACTTTAAACTTGCAATTCTGAATGTAAAAAATTCTCTGGTGCCTACAATTCACTGTAAAGTAAAGTTTTTATGAACTTCATGGGTTGATGATTTTCTTAAACACACCCAAAAACCACATTTCAGCGTCATTGTATCTCACCAGCACTTCCAAACAAATCAGTTTTCATTGCATCTCAGTATATTCATTATACATAAATCATTTTTCATTTAATTATACTTAAACAAATCAGTTTTCATTGTATCTCTGTATATTAATTATACTAAAAAAAAATTAGGCTGATTGACAAAAAAATACACATTTTAATAGCATAACCAATATGCTTAAGGCATTTCAATGTATTTTCTGACAGGATTTATGGGCTACAGAAACAAGGTTTACATGTATGTGAGTTTTATGTTCTCAGAAACTCATAACAATACACAAATACCACAAAGGAAATTGTTTATTGTTTTTTGTTTTTTTACTTTAATCTCTTACATACCTACTTCTCAGCCATTTAATAAATTTGGCCAGAACAAATAATTTTTGGGAACTCAATATTTTATGTTTGCCAATCCTTGTTCCAATTTAAAATCAGTTCATGAGTAAAATACATGGGACACAGCTGCTGATGTTGAAATCAAAGTTCTTTTACAATGTAAGAAATGTTAATTTTCTGCAGACATACTGCCTGAAATTGCCCTAGGAAATAGTTCCAGGTTTTTTTTAGCGTAAAAACAAAGAAGAAATATATCTGTGCGACAAAATGAATTGTGTGTTTAACAGGATTTGAGACTATTGTTGAAAGCAAGCTGTTCGAAGCCTCTTTATCTTACTGTACACAGTGATTTTTACCAATACCTCTCTATTTGTTTCTACATTTATCAACAATTTGAGTTATTGAAACAAAACTACCTAGATAACTCACACAAATTTTCACATGCTTTCTCAACAAACAATTTGAACTATTTTCTTACAAAAACGTGGAATATTGCTTAACTTTTCACAATTTATGTCGGACTGCTTTCTAAAAGTTCCCAGTGGTTTATTGTTGGTTCTTGGGGGCATTCTGCAAAGTCAACAACTTCACAGTTATAACCTCATATGATATTTTGTTCAAATTGAACTTGTGATATCTTCCTCTACAAGTTTAATGGCATTACCACAGATTGCAATAAGTCATTTGATCAAAAGACTATGGTCAAAAGATCGCTTCAAGCACAAGTACATTGTCCAGACATTGAAATGAATACCAGATTCCTGAATGTAAGATTTCTGAATAAGTTATTGATAGATCAAACAAATGAATTTTTAATATTAAGTACCTCGACTTTGACCATTTTGGTCTCGTAATACTGTACAATCTTCAATAGAACCAAATGGAGCAAACATCATCCGTACATCATTTTCTGTTAATTTTTTGGCTAGCATGCCTACGAACAGTTTCCGATCTTCAACTGTAGAATGTGAAATGCCTGATACAGGTTATTGAAAATGTTAATGATACATATATGATAATAGTATGAAATAAAATATATATTACACGCTAAAATATGATAATGAATATGAAAATTGTTTAAATATCTTTATCAATTTCACACAGATGTGAAGAATTTCAAAACTAATATAAAACATCTTCAGCTTATTTTCAAAGAGTAAAAAAGAATCAAACAAATACAGAATATTCCTCGAATTGTTCTTTTCTCCTTCAACAGGTCTTAAGGAAATCCATAACTAACTGAATGCAGACACAATGGATTATCGTGTCAATAAATTCATTAAGAGAAACTAGCCTCTTAACTTAATTAAAGTCTGTAGTGTTAGAAAAGTTCATTCAGGAGACTATCTAGTTTCACACCATGATAAAATAAAGTTTAAGAGCAACTAGACTAGACTCAAGTATTAAATCAAATAAATGGGAAAATTGGTTAGTTATTTTCAAGCTACATATATAATCATTAACAGTCAACCAAAAGAATGGTTTCTTCAAGAGGGGAATTGTTTAAATTTCATGTATTTGGAAATTTGAATCTAAGACAAGATTTTTTTCTCAGCATTAAAAAAAGACTGAATAGAATTTTCTTGTAAATAAAACGATTACCTTGTCTATCTAGGTATTTGTGGCGTATAATGGGTGAGGTGTTAAATAAAATAGTCATTGTGTAATGTTGACACCTATAATTATCTCTAAGCTTATGTAAGTAGTGTAATGTTTTACATTTGTTCAGTAAGTTTTGGTCCTATTAGAGCTTACCATTTCGTTTTTCGCTGTCTGCTGGCTTCATCTGTATTGGATGATGCATCTGGAGAGAGAAGAAAAAAAAAACAAACTAAGAACAAATGTTGAACTTTGTTTTTTCATCAAATATTTCAGCAGAGGGTAAAAACAATGACAAATATTGATCATTCCCCTTGTCACGTAAAGATATGTCAATGTGAGACTGTTGTCCAATTTCCCGCCTACTGATTGCACATTATAACAATAAACAACAACACAAATCTCATTGAGAACATCTGAAATAATCTACCTGGCTAATACCATTAGTGTTAAGGTAATCATAATTAAATGTCTGTTTCATGGATAACAGATTTTCCTATGTAATTAAGACAGAGAAACCATGTAATTAAGACAGAGAAACCATGTAATTTAATTGACAGTTGAAGGGAAAAACTGAAGGTTTGTTGTAAAACGATTGTCGAATAAACAAATCTCTTTCGTTTATTTACAATTACTAGTCAAGTAAAACTGGTACGAGAGTTTTGTGTACTCCAGTGTTTGTGTCATACAGTTTCATGCATTGCGCCATTTACTTTGTAGATTTTCATCATTCTTTGGCAATTAAAGCACACAAACAAAACTATTTAAGAAGATTTCCAGTAAGGAACATGTTTGCTATTCGCACAAAAGTGCCATGAGAGTGTGAGATAATTTAATCTGAAGGTATCTTTATCATTTTATTCTCTGAATAATCATTAAAGAAACTTTGTGATAAATAAATTGGAACCCCATCTTCACAAAGATAACAGAACTCTTAAATTTTAATGTTAACAGACTTTTGTGTATTAACACTACAAAAAATATCTTTTTAACTTGAAATACAGTAATATGTATAAATGATTGGCACCTGTCACTCAACTAACATTTATCTTCACCACCTAAATCACTATTAAAAGCATGAAAATAGTCTACAGACACAAATAACAAATATGCTCAACATTTCTATTTGGTTGTCAAGGGTTCATACTTAATATGCAATTGTGCATGTACCATATTTGACAAAATAACTGCTTATTCTCTAATGAGCTCAAATATAATGTTTGTTGGCCAATTCACCATCCTTTAAAACCAATGGAATGAGCTTTAATGTCTAGTCAACACAATACTTTGGTCATTCCGAGACAGATCTATTAATTCAGTATGGTTAATTTCTATGGCTGTGTGTGGAATGCGAGTTAGATGAATTTTCCTGGACGGTTGTAGACAGTTGGAACTCAGTTTTTCATCCTACATGTATTTGAACATCATGATGCACTTTCCTGGTCAGCCTTGTGTGCGCCACACAAACAAGTACGACCATATTAAAGTATATGGACTAGGAACCGACCACGGCGTCATCCCATCCATCTTGGAATTGTGTCCAAAGAACAATTGAATTGGCAGATTTAATTTTTTTTTTTTTTTTTTGAAGAGCGTGGCCCACAATGAGATTGAGTTCCTGGTATGAAAATACCAAAGGTTTATATCAGGCACTATGCAGGGAATGGAGCAAGGGATATTCTAGTTTAAAATCCAGTGATCTAGCCACTAGACCTTCACAATCTATTTTTTTAATAACATAATTCTTATTGGCATGATGATTCAAATGAACAGAGGAATTTAATGTCTAATGTTGTATTCATCTATCAAACATCTACAGATCCAACAACCAGGAACCTCCTATATTTCTGAGAGATTTATCTATATCGTTATTAATATTCAGTTAAATATTGTGGGGAATATATTGAGCTGTATCAACTGAAGATATGCCAACATTTATACTGTAACAACAAGACGATAGATTTACTTACAGTATATTACATCTACTAACATAAAACTGATCTTTTTTCTATTTATAATATTTATATACAAATGCATGTTTACATATCTTTGTAACTTATTGCAAATTTGCAACTACCAGAGGTACACGTCAATGTACCAAACATTTTATCTACTGTAGTTTTTTTAAAATCAATATTTCTGTAGAAATCCCGAATTAAATCAGGAGTTTCAAATTTCTCCAAATATACCGATTACCAGAGCTGGAATAACCTACTGCCAGGCATGTAATACATATTATAATTTAAGATAAAATTAAAGTCTCTGGTTGTCCTTTCATGGATTCGGAATCCCTTGTGAACTACAAATATCAATACACATGGGATCCTGTACAGTCGATTTAAGCAAGCCGTTACCATCAATCAGTTGTGAAAAAAAAAGGTTATTGTCCGTTAAATCCAGCAGTTTTAAAACGAATAAATATAATTATTAAAACACATAAATTATTTTACTAGCATAGTAAAGCGATTAAGTTTCTTCACTTGCAACATCCCGACATTTCAGTAATAGTATTACGAATAATGTGGGTATTAATTTCAAAATGTGGTAACCTAGACCTTTTTGAAGTTTAAGCCAGTTTAGTATTAGGGTAATAGAGCAAGAGCAGAATCACAAGTATTTAGGATCCATAGCATGTGTTACTTTTGTTAGTACATGTACATGTAGGTAAAATCTGGCACTGTCAATTGCATAAAAGTTTTTAATATTTAGAGCAAACCTTGTATCTGCTTAGTTTCATTTCGTGTCCTCGATACCACTAAAGAATTATTGTACACACCAAAATAAAATCATCTCAAACAATACTACTACATTGCTTCAGCAAGATTTTATAATGCTAAAATAATTGACTTCCAACCATGACATCATTGACTGAGGTATGATTATGAATTAGAATCACCAATACCATTAAAAATGCCAGGAATCACAGTGTGGATTTTGTGCCTTCATGAACCATGAAAATATCTTTTGTTCATATATATTAAAAATTATGCAGAGAATAAAAGAAATAAGTTCAAAACGTCTTTGCACGTTTTAGAAAATATATTTTAATCAAAAAGTTATAAATCATGTCAAAAATATATTTTAATCAAAAAGTTATAAATCATGTCAAAAATATATTTTAATCAAAAAGTTATAAATCATGTCAAAAGAATTAACTGAAAAAGCGTTTGTATGATTTACAGTAACTTTTATTTTTAGAAACGTAACTTTTTCCATATAGTTACAACCAGAAATATTTTGACAAATATTTACAGAATCGGAATGAAGAATTTTTTTTTCATTTTGGCAGTACTTTTTGGCAGTTCTAGCAAACTCTTCAAATGTGGTTTAACAGTTTATTATATACCCCCTTCTATATACATGTAATCTCAGTAACATGTTATAACTATATAAATGTAAACAGAAAGTAAGAGACTAGTAAGAAACCTAATAGATTTCTATGTTTCCATCAATCAGACTAAAAGCTATTTATATAACTGTAAAACCACACCTGAATCATCTCTTCTCTTTCTTTCATCTGCACAGATAAATTAGAAATGTTGTGGAGTTAAAAAGCTTATCAACACTCCACCCTATCTTTTAACTTTTTCACCTTTATTTCCTTCATTTATTATCATCTTATTATTCTAGCAATAACATTCTAAAGCTGCTTCTTGTTTTTTCAACCAATTCATAAAACTAATCTGGCATTTTAGACAGATGTGGACTTGGGACGTAAAAGTCTTCACAGAGCAGTAGTAGCATTAATTACAAAAATACAAAATAAATAAACATATTATGTTTATATAAACATATTATGTTTATTTTTTGAAATTCTGTTTTTGGAATGTAATCAATGTATTCTATCTGTACAAAGTCACAGTAATATTCGCATACTTCTGATGCCTTGACTGCATTAGCCGACTTTGTTGTACATTTAGTCTATATTGCTCCTGCACAAATGGTCAATGCTTTGAATACAATGAGTAATTGTCTGGACTAAAAAATAAATGTGCAATGTACATTGTCAAATATACAACTGTGTATGCCTTATGGCTATTTAGTGGAAAAATGACCCTCAAATTGAATCTGAAGTATGCAAAATGCATTGTTATCTGTTTGACTGAGACAGTATTTTATATTGAAAATGTTAACAGCAAGCCAGAGAGACTCCATATAACTATAACACAGATACTATTATTTTCAAACAGACATTTTAAAGGCATTTTAAATATATTGATACAAAAGGGTACATAATTAAAAGTTTGATTTGTAGCCATAATTGACCTGGTGTATTAATTTAAAACAAAGACTGTGATTGGTGCAATTCATTGGTTCACCAAACATAGTTAGCAACTCAAGCAACTTAGCAGGTAGTAGTGTGACATGGTGAAGACAGAAGATCTGGTTTTAAATATAACTACGTTATATGTACATATCCTGCTGTTGGCTGCTAGTAATTTAATACAATCACAACATCATCATTTTTAACTGGCAATAACCAAGGAGATGATATGAGAAACAACACAAAAACTATCTGACATTGTACATAATAGTCAGTATTAATAGTTAATGCCCACAAGGTAGTGAACCTTGAGGATATAGTTTTAAAAAACAGTTTGTGAAAGATAAAACTAACCTAGGGACTACACTATGCAACAATTAACTGTCGTAACTATGCAACCAGCAAACAAGAAAGGAAGTGCTTGCCAGACATTACAAAATCTTCAATGCCAATAGCCCTAACTTGGTCCGATTCACCACGTTCAAATATCAATAACCACTGGTTAATAATTGTTACCGATCGTGATCAGAAAGAAAACCACATGGTTTAATATTAGCTAAATATCGGCTAACTAAAATGATACGTTAAATGTATAAAGCACAGAACCACTGGAGAAAAAGATGTGTTTGCACAAAATGATTTCCAGTCTAAATTCAAGCGAATGACATGTTTGAGACATTAATTGAATCTCCCAGCTCGATGCTAGCAATTCTCTAATACACCCTTAATATTGCACGAACAACCTCTCAACCATTCCAATGAGACCTCAAATAGAATTCAATTACAGAAAATGATCACAGTCATAGTCTGCCTCTGTTTTCAGTCACAGATAATTCCTGTAATTATTGGAATTGAATTTCAAATAATTCCTATCAAAAGTGTTATATACATGTATCTCATGTGTTCATAGTTGAGTTCATTTACATTTACCTAGTAATAACAGGTTACTGTCCACTGATTGTAAATGGCATCTTTATAAAATTACAATGCATTACATCTTGTAATAGTCTGTATACATGAACTATATAATCAGCAACATATTCAGAGAATAAACAACTTACAACATTTCTTATGCAGAAAAGTCTTCCTCATATTCAAATAGATAGAAATCTGTGTTCAGTACAAGATAGTGGACATCCTAAATTATTACTGGTACTCATTGATTTTACACATTTACATTTATTTCAATCATATGCTTGTTACGCAATGAATTTCTAACAATACATGTACAAATTTTGCTTATTACCCAACCGATCTCATTCCTTTTGCATTTTACTCTGATTTATAGTCTCTTCCAGTAACAGGGAATCAACTCTTGAAATGTCGACTGAGATAATACTTCCTACCTCAAAAAAGGACTTTTAGTACAAAGTAATAAACTAATTGCATAAACCACCAGTTTTCTGATCAAATTTTACAGTATTGAATGATAGGTTACACAAATGAGAAATAATTCACATATAATTTTGAAATATCGCTTATAAAATATTTATAAATCACCACTTACCCCTGGCATAGTTTTAATATTGTGTAAGGCATTCTGAGCATCAAGTGCTGCTTTTCTACTGTAAAACGTCACAAAACAACAACCTTAAACAAAAATAAAAGTAATGGCATCACAATAACAGTATGTACAGAAATGTTGGAAGAAATTCTATCTTTCTTTTTACAGTACTCTCATAACTGAATTGTCCAAGATTTGTGTTCCTTAAACCAACCCAAACTGCCTGAATCATGTGTGTAACTGAGAGCCCGACCTCCAACTGGAACTAGTAAATATTCCAATATATGAAACAATATGGAGAGCTACTCACATAACTCAGACGGTTTGAGGTGGTCATGGAAACTGTATTTTCAGACAGTTTCAGGATGTCAAGGGATTCCTGTATGAAACATACTGTTTCTAATTTCTTTCTTTCAGGAACCAGAGTATTCAATATCTATATATCTCCAAGTGCTGAAATGCAATCCGTCACCTACTTATGAGAATTCATCTTTATTCACAATTCTAGGTCTCAATTTCCTTATTGTAGGGTGAAATTAGGTTTGGTGTATAATTCGGAGAACATTTATGAGTTTTGACATGCATCCATGAATAGAATAGCAGACCTAAATCTTCAAAAGAGAGTAAAAATTTCTATTGATTTCCACATTTCTATATTGAGATTTGTTACTTTTTATTAAACTGTTTGTGCATAACAAGACTAACAACTTACTGATCAGCAGAGTAGTTGGCTTTCAGTTACATGTAAACATTTGTAAATCCAGAATCGCTGCCATATCGAATATGTTCAAATTATAGCCGCTGATTGTTTGATTTGGTTCAAATTTAAAATTGCAGATTTCATAGATTCTATATGTAGATTTGTTTAGTGGGATGATAATTTGTCTCCTTTGATAGGATAAAGCCAGTGTTGATCTCATAACCAATTTTGTATTACATGTACATGTAGCATGTCGACACAGTCAACAGATTATATTAAATTACTAAATAAAGAAGGATTCTGTTCAATCTTTCGAAAAAAAATTCTATTTAATCAGACAGAATTTGTACCACCACTAATTGAAATAACACATCAATAATTTAATTGGACAGGTTTAACATCTTTAAAGTGATAAAACACATCTTTAAAGTAACAGTGTGTGAAATTCCTTTTTTTATTGTGGAAAATGTCAAATTTATTCCACGTTAATATGTACAGTAAATTAAGAAATCAATATATACTCTTCAAAAAAAGTAGGGGATATTGAAATGCAAATACCTATGCAGGTTGTGATATGATAAATAGTCATGGACACTTGACATGCTTTGAGGGTATGTTCACAGATGAAGAACTTATCGCCCCAATAGAACCACTGAGCTGCACATGCGACACGCAATAGCGCCATACACGTGGGAGGGGTTCATTGTCAAATTTGACACTTCAAGGAAGGGTTGATGAAAACTGTCGCTTGCTGGTTTATCCTATCCATGTTTGCTTTCCTATCGGTTCTTAGATAAGATTTACTGTTTAGCGTATCTTTGCTTTAGTGTGTTACGTTTAATTTGATTGGGAGACCTGTTCATCAACATCAACCGACAACACTGTAAGAATTGGCCGTGGCACTGCAAGAGGAGTGGGTCAGATTGCCCCAAATCGTCATTGGAGGGTTGATTAGGAGCATGCCATGACGAATTGCTGAATGTCTGCGGATTGGTGGAGCAATTGCTCATTATTAAGACAAAAATCATAACCGTCCATTTTCACTTTTGACAGTGTATCTCTTTGCGAGTGAAATAGGGCTGTCAGATAAGCCGCCCATATGAACTGTTTATGTTCATCATGAATAGGCAATTGGCCTGTTATTAACATACACTGGTTACCTCTAATAAAGATAGGTTGCCAGGCAACGAAACATACGCCCACAGCAGCTAAATCGTCCGGGCAGTCAACAAGAGTTGTCGCATATTTTTACTTTTTTTGGTAATGAAACATTTATAATACACTAAAATCTGATTAAGAGCAACAACTGAGAAAACCATTCGAATTTGTTTGGTCTTTATAAAGTTCTGCCCCATGCTAACGTTTTGTATACAAAACTTTTAATATCATGGATTTAGCTGTTCCAAGTCATAAAAATTCATTGAAAATCAATATACTTGTTCCTCTCAAGATCTTAAACTCTGTGTATCAATCTGAAGTCAATCGGATGATAACTTTAGCCTTTAGAGCGTCACAAGATTTTGCAAAGTGATCAAGGGCCATAACTTTGGCAGTAATTATCGGAAATCGTTGAAAATCAATAGGATTCTTCATCTCATGATCCTAAACACTGTGTATAATTTTAAGGTCCATCGGATATTAACTTTGGCCTCTAGAGCGTCCACAAGATTTTTCAAAGTGATTAAGGGCCATAACTCTGGCAGTAATTATCGAAAATCGGTGAAAATCAATAGGCGTCTTCATCTCATGACCTTAAACACTGTGTATATATTTGAAGTCAATCAGATATTAACTTTGGCCTATAGAGCGTCCACAAGATTTTTCAAAGTGATCAAGGGCCATAACTCTGGCATTAATTATCGTAAATCGCTGATAATCAATAGGATTCTTCGTCTCATGACCTTAAACACTGTGTATAAATTTAAAGTCAATCGGATATTAACTTTGGCCTCTAGAGCTTCCACAAGATTTTTCAAAGTGATCAAGGACCATTACTCTGGCAGTAATTATCGGAAATTGCTAAAAATCAATAGGCTTCTTCGTCTCTTTACCTTAAACACTGTGTATGAATTTAAAGTCAATCGGATATTAACTTTGGCCTCTAGCGCGTCCACAAGATTTTTTGAAGTGATCAAGGGCCATAACTCTGGTAGTAATGATCGGAAATCGCTAAAAATCAATAGGCTTCTTCGTCTCATGACCTTAAACACTGTGTATAAATTTAAGATCAATCGGATATTAACTTTGGTCTTTAGAGCGTCCACAAGATTTTTTGAAGTGATCAAGGGCCATAACTCTGGCAGTAATTATCGGAAATCGCTGAAAATCAATAGGCTTCTTCGTCTCATGACCTCAAACACTGTGTATAAATTTAAAGTCAATCGGATATAAACTTTAGTCTCTAGAGCGCCCACAAGATTTTTTGAAGTGATCAAGGGCCATAACTCTGGCAGTAATTATCGGAAATTGCTAAAAATCAATAAGATTCTTCGCCTCATGACCTTAAACACTGTGTATGAATTTAAAGTCAATCTGATATTAACTTTGGCCTCTAGAGCGTCCACAAGATTTTTTGAAGTGATCAAGGGCCATAACTCTGGTAGTAATTATCGGAAATCGCTGAAAATCAATAGGCTTCTTCGTCTCATGACCTTAAACACTGTGTATAAATTTAAAGTCAATCGGATAGTAACTTTAGCCTCTAGAGCGTCCACAAGCAATTGTGGACGCCGGACGGACAGACGGACGGGGCGACGACAATATACGACCACATTTAAATGTGGGCATATAAAAATAGCAGTGCATTTCCGCAGTTTTGTATTGTTTCTGAATATCCCCTACTTTTTTTGAAGAGTATATATATATATTTATATATATATATATATATATATATCAATGCTAGATCATCTCCAGACTTGCATTCAATCGGATTCAAACAGCACCAGGGAACCTGGCATTACAAATGGAATTTATATTCTGAAAGGAAAATCGCGGAAAAGTCCATTTTTCCAAAAACCTATAAATGAGATCATAAATCAATATGCTTATTATCAAGGTTTTATTTTCCTAGAATAGTGTCGTTGACAAATTCTGTCAGGAAAAAGAAGCGAAAAGAGAAAAATAGGACAAGTGTACAATTTACATGTACAGAGGGGGTAGTCTTGATTGATAAAATTTCACGTCTATTTTGGGACTTATATCCATATCAGAGATTTAACTTTAACAATAATGTAGTTTGCAAGGGATTCCTTCCTATATGGGTCAAAGACTTTAACCAGATGTCGGATGCCTGTGCAGCATACATGCATGTACATGTACATACAAGTATGGATGATAGGTAAACAAGAGGATTATATTGATAACTCTTCAAATGGGAGTTTTAATTAATTTTTTTTAAAAATAATATGTACATGACTGTGTGAATTATAGTAGTGTCAACATATTAAATATGAATAAATAGTAATATGACTCTATAGAAGTAACCGCAGCTGGATCCAGTCTGCTTACTTTAATTTATATAGTTCAAATAAATCAATTGTTTGTACATGTTCATGTAGGTCAAACATAATGTACAACAATGTACATGCAATGAAGAACAGGATTTGACATGAATAAAATGCTGTGATTTATAGTTATTACTATACATAATCTAAATATAAACTTCAACTAGGTTTTATTAAGTCATTTACAACATACTTACATAAAACAAAAACAAGATTTATTATCTTGTATTCTTAATATTTAACACCTTTATTAAGATATCGAGACTAACTAAAAGTAAGTAAATTCATGTTCTCCACATTAAGACATCTGTCCAATCAAGACAGTGCTTTTATCAGTTGTTGTCATGGTAAAGAGACTATACTTCATTTGTAAAACATGTATTAAGTAGAGAAGCATTACTGCTAATCAATGCTTTATCTTGTCTTTTTGTAATACCCTGCAGGCTTCATTATTAGATAGATCATTTTCTTCTTATACAATGTCAAATGCACATCTTCAAGTTTACTTTTATAATTATCATGAATAATAAATGTTTGCTAATATTCTTATCATTCATATCTTTGACCAATTGTTTTATTCAAATATTTCTGCTGGTTTTATTAGATATATTTACACTGCTAAGATTTGTTAACAGCATATCAACATTCTGAACAAGTTTTATTAATCATCAATTAAATCAAGAGATGAGAACAATTTTTTTTATTCCTATCCCATTTTGATTTTATTACTGACAGTATTGTATCAAAGCTATGCCAATTATAATCACTTTTTCAAGCACTAAAAAAATTATTTTTATCTCTAATGACACAAATTATTTTTTTTTATATAGACCTAAGATGTCTATTAAGCCAATAAGTAAAATAGCAAAACTATTTCTGTCTGACAATGGCAGCCATTTGAAGGTACATGTACATGACAGATCTTTTAAATCTGTTTACCTGAAACTCAATTTTCTGTTGTCTATATTCTTGGTAATTTTTTTATATTCACTCACGTATACAGTAGTGTAATTACCCCTCAAGGATTACATGTACATCTTCAAAGATCTACATACTCAACTTAAAATTTCTGAATAATATTAAAGCCATCAATTCACAAGGACTTAATTAGAATAACCAGCGGTTGCCGGACAAGACACCCCCAAATTTTGCAAGAAATGGCTAGAGAACAAGCTAAAAAAAACAAACATGATTTTACGTACAATTAGGGGCCATAATCCAGGAAGTTACATCGGATATGCGCGATTATCAAAATGAACCAACATCTGTGTGATACATGTATAACCATGAATTTAAAGCTTCATCCAAATCGGATCAAAACTGTGGCCTCTAGCAAGTCGAACTCAACCATCATTAGGGTGTAACGGTGATACATGTATATTCAAACGCTTTTTTTTTTAAATCGGATAAAAATTGTGACTTAAACATGGTTTTTCGTTCAATCAAGGGTCATAATTCAGGAAAGTTACAATCTGATATGCGCAATTATATTGAAAGGAACCAAGATCTTTGAGTAATAAACATGTATCTGAAGGTTCATCAAAATAGAATCAAATTTGTGACCTCTAGAGGATCTACAACCTTGATATACCATATTTTTTACACTATTTGCTTACGAGCAGCTGCCATTTTGTCCAGCAGTTCTTTTGGTTATAAACATGCATTTCAACTTCCATCAAAATCAGATGAAAATTGTGATCTCTAGAGTGTCCACAAGCTAAAAACATGATTTTTCGTACAATCAGGGGTCATAATCCATGAAATTATGGTCTGATACATGCCAATATCAAAACGAATTGAGATCTTTGGGAGAGATAGACCTATATTTCAAGTTTCATCAAAATCGGATAAAAATTGTGACCTGAAGAGTGTCCACAAACAAATTGTTGACGGACAGACATGAAAATGTGGGTGTATAAAAAGGTGTTGTGATTACTGGAAGATAGGAATACTGTACATCAATAGATCATGTTTATCTAATTTAGCAAATCAGATGCCAGAGAAAATGGGATGTTGTGCATACATGTACTTTTTTTAATGTTATACCTTTCAATGTCAATGTGTTTGTCATGACAATGTAGTTGTCTTATCAGTTTCCAATGATACTGTAGTGTGGTGTTCGTATACTGCACTTACATGTATTATTTGATTCATCAGAAATTTCATAAACCAGATTAAAGTAGCCAAGTCATCCAGTCTCTGACATTGAAAACATGCATTATTTGTCAATTTAAATCAACATTGATGCTGTGATCAGGGCACAAACTGTTCATATTTTTTTTACCGCCAACTGCCATAAAAGTGTGACAACATGTAACAATTTTTTTCTCCGGTAGGCTTATAATAAAACAATTACCGGCATACAACAACTTAAAAAACCCATCTTTATATAATATACTATTCAAAAAAAGTAGGGGATATTTGATTTTTAAGTGTTATTAAAGTCACCTAATGAAACTGACGAAGAAACAAATGACAAAATGAAATGAAGTTCACATTCATCGATTTATTCCAAATGATCGTTAGACTAAGTAAGGCACAGACTGACCATTATAAGGGTAAAATGATACCCGGGGTCAAACAGCAAAGTTACCACAGCATCACAACCAAGTCAGTAACGGGTAAATCCTCCTCTGTTTGCCAAACAAGCATTGGTCCGACGTGGCATACTCCTAATGAGACGTCTAAGGTCATTTTGGTCCAGATTGTCCCATTCCTGTTGCAACGCAGCAGCAAGTTCTTGGACATTGGCAGGACGTTGTTGACGTTGACGTAACCTCTGTCCAAGCATGTCCCAGACATGCTCGATGGGGGAGAGGTCGGGACTCAGTGCTGGCCAAGGTAATGTGGTGATGTTCTGTTGTTGGAGGTAACCTGTAACGATCCTGGCCCTGTGACATCTTGCGTTGTCATCCTGGAAGATGAAACGGCGGCCATGACGTCGTGCGAACGGCACAACATGGACTGCCAAGATGTTGTCCCGGTAGTACTGGCCTGTAACACGCCCTGCAACAACATGTAAAGCCGTTCTTCCAGCAACAGTGATGCCTCCCCACACCATAACAGAACCACCCCCAAATCGATCATGTCTGATGACGTTAACGTCTTGGAAGCGCTCGTTTCGACCACGCCACACCCTCCTACGTCTGTCCAAAAAATCAACAGTGAACCTTGACTCATCTGAAAACATCACATTGCTCCAGCGTCGATTATCCCAGTGTTGACGATCCCTACACCAACGACGTCTTGCCTGAATGTGATGATCTCTCAAACAAGGGATCACGCGAGGATGTCGGGCGCGAAGGTGACCCCTATGCAGTCGATTCCGAATCGTCTGGCCACTCACTCTCACACCAGTGTCTGTTTGAAGACGAGCGCTGATCTGATTTGCTGTGATGACACGATTTCTCAAGGCCAAGGTACGGATAAATCGATCCTGGGCTTGAGTTGTCGCCCTTGGTCGACCTGAGCGTGGTCTGTCCTGTACAGATTGTGTATCATGGTATCTGGACCATAGCCTGCTTATGACAGACTGAGAAACATTCATCGTCCGCGCCACAACCGCCTGTGTTGTGCCGATCTGTAGCATGCCAAGGGCACGTAACCTTTCATTTTGGGTAAGCCGACGCATATCAAAATTTGTTTTCTGGTCACTAAAACAATTAAACTGATGTTTCCACCCTGGAATTCAATGCCACAATGACTGTAACATTCAAAGTCAGAGTCGTGCAAATCTTGGGTTGGACCCCCATGATGATCCCAAGCATCACCTGCATTCCATGCGGTAGCTATTGGTGCGTTTGGGCGTCACATGTAACTGGAAATGTTTCTTCTGTTAGGTTCTATAGTGACTTTTTTCGTAGTCATTTGCATATTTTAGTATTATGCCCCCAAAATCAAATATCCCCTACTTTTTTTGAATAGTATACATTAGCTCAGTTTTGAGATGATTTACTAAGATTTAATAAGATCAGATTTTATTTGTGGTGACTTTAGTATATTTGCACACCATATTACACAATATGTTTTCAGTATTTACACGTCAAATCTCATCCAAGGATTGTGAATTTTCTATAAATTTATGTTTTGTGTTCACAATAGACCTATTGTTACTTTCATACGGTAAAGATATCAGAATCTGAATCCCTGATAGAATGATATAAATTTCATTTTCGATTTTAATTGTAAGAGATGCTTACAATTTATACACTTTGATCACTTTAGAGCATATTGGCACCGGTAATGTGAATCAAATGGCGGACTGTTTTATCACTCAAGAATCGTTGCTATTTCACTCGTTCTTATGTTTCCGACCAATGGTTATAACATAATATGAAATAATAGTATCTGACTAGGCACGCTTGTATATTTTACATGCCGTATGAAGCCACAGTTCAACTATCAAAATATTTAATTCTCTTCGAAAAGAATTAACAGCAATTTTGAATATTTCCATTTTTTTTTAAAGACAAAACAAAACATTAGTTAATCACCGCTTGGATTAATCATTAGGAGGAGTAAGTATATACACTGTATATCATTGAAAATTATCAATCAACTAATCATGAAATGAAATAAAATAGGGTTTAACGTCCTACTGTTCTGATCCGACTGGGCTAATGAAGAAAGGCATACGCCATACAGTGTGCTATGACTCTATGAGGGAAATTTTGCCCAGGCAACGGCACTATGGCCTACTCTTATATTGAATTCCAATTGCCAGGGGATCTTTTACGTGCACGCCAATGTATACCAGTTGTTATTTTTCCGCCAGTTCCCCAAAAGAATCGCCAATAATAATCCAAAACTCTGTCTTTAAAATTAAATTTTAATCGTCACTTTCATATTTTTATCACAAATTGCGACTTTGGCGGCAGACAGCTGAGCCCAGGGCCCTTTTCACGAAAACTTAAACTAAGTTACAACCGAAATTTTAAGAAATACGGCAACTTATTTTTATCACAAATTGCGACTTTGGCGGCAGACAGCTGAGCCCAGGGCCCTTATTCACGAAAACTTAAACTAAGTTACAACCGAAATTTTAAGAAATACGGCAACATCATTGGATATATGCAAATTAATTTTACTGGTCGGCCAATCGAATTGCAGTATTTCCTAAAATTTCGATTGTATCTTAGTTTAAGTTTTCGTGAATAAGGGCCCTGGTTATGATCTTACCGGAAGAAGATGGGCTTCTAATATCCAATATTTAAGACAAAATAAACATTTTATTGGTACACGAATCATGTACCAGAATGTAACAAAGTACTCGACCAAAGGGGCTAGACATATATATATTCCACAAGTCATGTCAAACAGTGGCACCATTTTCTTATCTGGAGTGCATGCACAATAAATACTACCAGTGTAGACTAAAAAAAACAGATGCTAGAGATTTGATTGAGACTTCCGAGTATTTCGCCGAACATAATCTATTTGAAATTAGAGTAAAACCGAAAACGATTGAATGTAAATACATTCACGTGAGTTGCGACCCATTTGAGTCAATTTATAGGTCTCAAATATTAGCAAATTATATCCTGACTCCTGTCAATCAAATATTTCTATAATTAGCAATTGAATGAGTTTGTAAAATAATAAAGTTGATGTGTAATAATTATACACTTCAAACAAGACTTACCTTTACTTTGACCAGTAACTTTATCCCTTAAAACATTTAGTTGAAAAACTGGACCAAATTCCTCACACATTTTCCTTAAGTCATTCTCATCCATACCACGTGGAATTTGTCCAATGAACATTTTAATAGCATCAGGGTCTGGTTCATTTTTCTGTGGTTGGGAATTCATGGTTCTGAAAATACAGAAGTAACAACATGATTACTGATCTATGTACACATGTCAATCTTTATTAAGAATTTAAGCAAAACATCACAAGTAATTATTAGTTCACATAACAATTGATGTTCAGTTTGTCATGGAGAGATGACAATTTAAGTTTTCCTTTGTAAAATACTGGTAAACTGTTTGCAAGACAAACCAACCGTATTTACTACATGTACCTACATGAATCGAGTACAATGAGGAATCAGTACATGTAGGTTTTCTTCCTAATTGAAATATTAAGAAAAAGACATCTCCCCACATAAAATAAGAGCCAGATTAATAGCAAATGTCACCATTTGTATCTTCTATATGTCAACTGTACCATATGTAGGATGCTACATGTGATGATTACCTATACAGAAATCCAGCATATACAGGACCTATTTTATAAGAATTGTACAATGGCCACAGCAAAAATTCAAGCATTTAGTAAGAAAAATATTTCTGAAAATGTAAAACTTTCTAAAAAAAAAAATGTCCAAAATATACTCTGTTACTTATAACATCAAAACAGCATATGAAGCCAAAATCAATGAAAGCAAATAGGCAAAGTCATCTTATTTTCAATTAAACTACTTCTGTTTGCTTGTTTCTTCTACATGGTATTATTGTATTAACTTTATAGTTAGGTTTTAGAATGTGAATATGTTTGTCAATACTGAGAGTAGAAAACAAGAATGGAAGGTATTATTTTTGGCAACTTAGGTAGGCTTGGCAGATAATTAAGGGGTGGTTGAAAGTTAAACAGTCCTGTCTAAAATAAATATGACATTCTTAAACTGCAGCCTCAAATAACCTTGTGCTGTCAGGACCTTTTTGTCAAGTTCTACATTCTGAACACTTTCCTCGTTAGCTCTCAAAAGATAACAATAAGAGGGGAATGTGGATATCTTATCTATGTGTTGTTAGAAAATGTAGTTAAATCTGGAAGAATTCTATCAGGATCTTGTTCATTCTCTGACACTGGTACTTTAGAAACTGATCCCTCGATTTAAACAACAATACCTTTTTTCAATAGTCAAACAAACAATACATTGTAATCATCTAACTACCAATATGTATATATTCTTCCTGATGAACTATCTTATCAGTAGTCAAGTTATATAAATTTAGCAAGAAAAAAAAAATGTGAGAAAAATAACAGAATTCAACAGTTGCGAGGAATTATTCTAATTTTGTCACACTATTATTAAAGTTGTACTATACACATAATGTTTACTATACATTAATACTTGGAGACATACTGTGTAACATGTTTCACATCACACACACCTCATGGTTAATGAATATTTTCAGAATTTGCAATGGAATGATGGTGTTTTGTCAACACTTGAATGACATTTTAAGAATAATAACATTTGAATTATTTGTCTATGGTTACATGTATGTACTGGTACATGTATACTAGCTTAGGAAACTTCTATTTGGACAGAGGCATTTCTTTTAAAATTTTAATTTTATGCAACAGCGTTAACTTAACATGAAAATGTTTACACTACTAACTACAGTGTACATGTACATGTCAATCTGTGTGTATGTTTGACTTTAATACATGGTTTAAACTGTCTGGCAATGGCACTGAAATAGACTGGCTGAAACACAACACTAACAAGCATCAGTCAATTTGAAAAGACAAATAATATACATTTACTATTTTACCCAAACTGTAAATGGCATTGTCTACTCTTTACCCAATGCAAGATATTGTTCTACGTGTAAGCTACATGTACATATTACAATTTGTACTGGAATACATTGTAATCCTGCATTTAGAAACATATGTAAATAAGATTCTTTTAAATAAATGTGATTTGAATTCCGAAAAATACATGTAACCCCCTTAGACTAAAACGGTATAAAACAATTGTGATCAGATAATAACAAAATCAATGAAGAAGAGAGACAAATCAATTAAATGGAAATTATACATGTACAGTTGAGCAGAATGGTTCATGGTTTGTTATATAGATGTATGTGGGTTAATGTGGGTATTATATCAATCAAATAACAAACACATGCAATTACAATTTACAAAGCACAATGCGGCTTTGTTTTCCTGGCAAGCTTCAAACCATAAATACATGTCCACTGGCATACTGTAGTAAAAGAAGAGCACTTGCTCTGACATTTGAGAAAAACAAGATAATTACAGTACTACACAGATACAAAAATAGACCAGGGCTTGGTAGATGTAATCTTTACAATAGAATCTTTGAAAAAAAGATGTTGAAGATGAAAATGGGTAGCTACAAATGTATTCAGATAAGCTTATTAATCAGATATTTTATGAACCGATTTTACTAGTGGATCTGGTCTCCACACAAACAATGAAACCAAATGTTTTGTTTATTTATAGAAGTTAAAATCATGTTTAAACATAAGTATGATATAACATAACACTGATATACTGGTCTTTTCTGGTATGCAATGGCAGCATTAGGATAGTCCAGTGCCCGACTGCCAGTGAAATACACAATTGAAGTTGATACTACATGGATAGGGAACATGTGAACAGAAATATTATATATTAGCATTGATCAGAGCGGGGAGAATTGGTCATGATATGGCTATTCTAGACTGGAAAGTAATAGGGGGTGAGGTGAGAGAGAGAGAGAGCACATGTCACTGTACATTACACTTAAAGCTTATGGGTCAATAAATGCATGTGTAACCAAACATAATAAACAAATTTATCACATTGCATGTTTAAATCATATTCCAATTATTTTCAGTTCTGTAATAAATTCCTCGGGTTACCAAAACATTACCATATAATTATGCAATTAAATAGTTATCTCAGTTTTAATAATTTATTAATGCAAAATGATTTTTTGATACTCATGAGATATTCACACCGAAATGATTTTGTTATTCAACAAAAACTGGAAATGAACTAATTCATGAGTAAATAATTTGAAAGAAGTACTGACTGACCAACATCAGCATTTCTAAAAGATACAAATAAATTAGGGAATCAAGACAATCGCTGTATTACAATTTATCTACAACAATACAAATAACAGGCATACATTAATATTGACACTGGCAAGCAACAGATCTTGTCCTTTCTAATCTAATTCCAGATAGGTCAACTGCATGTGAAAAATATTTATCTTACAAAAACTAAAGTACTGTATGGAAGCTTATCCTAACATTTATACTTTATAATATTTTTACTATAGAATGAGAAACATGTACATGTACATGTTTCAACAACATGTTACCTGGAGTATCCAGAACATGATTAAAAGATACATGTGAATAACACAAGCTCTGATGAATTATTCTTTACAAGCTTAAAACTGTCACGTAGTATAATATTGCGGATGCCAAAAAAAAAGCCCATTTTTTCAGTAATATAACTGCATAATACTTTATTTCACTTCATCACCGACTACTACAAATCTTCAAATTTCCATATTCAGAATTCTAGACTTATCTACTTTGATTTTTTATACAGACATAATATTTACAGGAGTATAATCTAGGCCATGTGATAGCTATTGACCTATAATATAGACATTTTAATAATCAAACAATGAGCATTTCCTGTGATAAGCTACTGCTGTTAACATTAACTCTATTATTCACCTTGCTACAAAATAAATAACGAAGGCCTATACTTGACTAACTTACAGATGGCAAATTTCACATTGACAAATTCAGTAGTCAAGTGTTGTTTAAAGAATGGTGTGTAAGACTTAACAAGAGTACACAGTAGTATTACATATGAACATGGATCAAATTACAAAAGGTGAGGAATTGACTGTCCCATCCAAACAATACTTTGGTCATTTTGAGACTAACTTTGATAAAAACAATCAGTTGCCATACAAGATACGTCCATATTTTGAAAGAGATGGACAGTGAACAAGATTAAAAAAAAATGGACGTTTTGTACAATCAGGGGCCATATAATCCAAGATGTTACCTTCCGACATGCGTCAATATCGAAAAGAACTGAGATCTTCGGCATATAAACATATAAATCATAATCGGCTAAAAATTGTGACCTGTTGAGTTGTCCATAACCAAAATGTGAATAGACACACGGACAGACAGGGGCGACAGCATAATACATCCACATGAAAATGCAGGCGTGTAAAAATTTGACTATGATTGTATCTTCATTTTATCAAATTTGAACACTCAGTGGTTCTTTTACCTGCATCCTAATGTGTTCAAGAGTAGAATGTGGTTTTTGTACTCTCCAACTGACTAAGTAAAACTTTACTTGCTAGTCCGAGGGGAGCTAAGTAAGAACCAGTCAAATTAAACAGAGATTGTTCTAAAACAGAATTACTGACACCTGTACCTTAATTATTGAAAATTCCCATGTATCTACTAAGAGGAATAAAGCTTATAAAACAATTAGTTCTTCTTCATGGTACAAACATATTTCAAACATAACTTAACATCAGAAAAATTATGTAAGAAATATATCTAAGCTCTCAATATTTTTCAAATATTACACCCAGTAGTTCCATTCAGGGTTGATTGAAATTAAAACAATAGCTAGGTGTATCTGACATGTAAACATGTACTAACCTGAGACAAACAGTTGCATAAAAATCATCAAACTGTCAGCTTACCAACACTACAGCTAACTAATTAAAGTCTTATATAATGGAACTTAGTTCTCCATAGTATTCTTATGTCAGGTCTCTCAGCCAAACAAATGATATATTGTTTATTGATCAAGTAGGAAAATCTTCTTAACCTAAAACCTTATTAACACAAAGTCTCTGTCTCTGGAATCTACTACGGTAAAGACTTCTTAATAAGCCAGGTACAGAATAAATGAACTTGTTTTTAAGTGGATCTTGATCCCCTTCACTCATTCTTAATGTTCTATGGTTTTCTATTTTTCTCATGACTATCGTACAATGAATGTAAGTAATATGTATGGTACTTCAAATTAACATGATATAGCACCAGGATCAACTGAACATAATAATACTGGAACAA